AGTGTAATTGTCCTCAGCTGCTATAGAAGAATTAGAAAAAAATATTACAGCTCAGAATAAAGTCACTGAAATAAAATATTGCCTTATTTTGATGCACTGCATGACAGATTTTTGAATCAGGTCTTGCATCTTTTCTTCTCTGTTGCTACAACTGAACCTGGATTAGGAAGGACCAACTCAGTGGAGTCAAAGTCCATTTTTCACATTTTTTCCAGCAGCCCAAGGGCTACACTCCTGAGGAGGGGGAGAGGAAGAAGATGGGCATGGTCAAAGTGGTTAATGTGCATATTTAATTTTTTTAAAGTAAAGTGAACGGAAAATGTATCCAACTTTAATCATGTCCTTTACACTGAAAAGCCCCCTTGTGCTCTCTAATGCCCCCGTCCATTTTTTAAAATTAATGTTCAGAAGGGCAATGGGAGGGCCACAGGAGGCCTTCAAAGATGGCAAAACTCCCCTCAACACTTTTAGAGGGCATAAAGAAGTTTTTGAGTATTTTTTTAAAATTAATTCTTTTGGGGGGACTGAGGGTCCTCAGAATCTGGTGGGCTGAAAAAAAATGTTTGTTAGGAGCTGTTAAGATTCTCAGTCCTCCAGCTGAGGTTATCTGGAAATTGAATTTTCTATCAATTCTCCTCAGACTCGGGATCTTTGAAGAGGGAACAGAGACTCTGCCCTTGTGGAACTGGTGAGATAGAACCTATTGAGCATATGATGCTCAGATGTAACAGACATAACAAGATTCGAGGAAAATATATTACACCTCTCTTAAAAGACATGACAAGCCAATCGGACTCAGACTACTGTAACCAATTGTTAATTGATCAAAATCGGACCACTACAGAACTGGTAGCGAAATTTTGGGCGGCATGCCATAGTAGCCAGAATAGATAGCCAAACCCTTAGACATTGGTCTTATATTGTTATATTAGTAGTTTTATTGCTTTTTGCTTATTTGATTTGGCTTTTTGCAGTATACGTCAGTACTTGAAGCTCCGCATTCAGTTTTGTTTTATTTATGGCTTGCTGCTGTAACAATAAAGTATTATCCTCAGACTGAAGAAACTACTTGGATGAGTGGCAAAATGTTTTAATCTGATACGAAAGATGTCCAGTTGTTATTAGGAGCTGTATGTGGCTCATGGGCTACATTTTATTACCCCTGAGCTAGACGGAGCAACGAGGCAGAAATCCAGTTATCTGACTGAGAAGCTCTGATTCATTAAGTTTTTAAAGTTAAGATAGTTTTAATGTCTGCTTGCTTTCAATTATTTGATTGTATTTTAATTAGCATATAGTTTAATTGTCTTTTAACGTTTAACTTACTATGTTTTAAATTCTATTCTTTTTACTATTGTGAGCCGCCTTGGGTCCCCTTGTGGGGAGAAAGGTGGCCTATAAATAAAACAAAACTAAACCTTAGCACCAAAACTGAGTTCTAAAACTAACCCAAATTCCAAGTTAATCCTAATCTGGTACTTTCAACTATTCTGAGAATCACAGGCTCCATAAGTAATAAGAATAAATGAACTGGCAGGAGTCCAGTTTTGTGTTCACCTGCAGTAAACTACCTTTCACATCTGCTACCTAAATAGTTTTATGCAGCATGGAAACAAAACACAGCCAAAGTATTAAGTTAGACTTTAGCTTCTATTTATCTCAGCCTGATAGACCTTGTTTCCTGTCTTTGATTGCTTTGTTCTCATCCTTACTGCTAAGAGTTTACAAAACAGCCCCTATTGAACACGAAGATAAGAAGTATACCTATTTGTATAATAACATCAAGGAGGGAAAAACTGCTGGTTCATCTATTTTGTTGTTAAGTTGCTCAAAAGGATCAAAATACCAATTAACTTGCTGGCTTAGAAAAATCTTTGATATCCTCAGATTTACTGACATTTCGAAACTCTTGTTCATACTTGCCTAATGGCTTTTTGATTAGGAACAAAGAAAGTGCCGGTCTGTTTAGCATTTGACCTGTTTTTCTCAACTGTTCCTATGTATTCAACTATTTTGAGCCTAAAAAACACTTGACTGGTCCATATCAAAATTATAATTCTCATACAAATACACCCGATTTTATACTATTATATTTGTAATCTATGAACAGGGTGGTTCACAATGAGAGCGAGAGTGTGAAAATACCTAACATGATGACAAAGTCATAAACAGCCGACGGTAACATTGATTTCATCAGCTGCTCAGCAAACTCAAAATGAGAGCTAATGTGATGTAATGACAGAACCTCAGTGTAGGACTCGGGTGACTCGGGTTCAGATCCCATTCCCAGCCCTTCACCTCTCCTGCTAAGCTGAAAGGCTGGCCCACACAAACAATATTGCAAATGATCTTGCAGGACACAAGATCCAGTCTCATTTCTCAACCTTGGCCAAGATGACAGAACAATTCATTCTTTTTTCCATTGGTCTGGCTTGAAGTGTGTAGAGATGGCAAGCATACTAAATTAAAACATACCCTAATGCCCTAAAATATGATGAATTTAAAACATTGTGAAATTAAGGGAGAGGGCTTGACTTAAAATTGTGCTCTCTTTTCTCAAATACCTTTGTGTTGAATTAAGCCATAGTAATTTTAACAGACGTTACTCTCAAATACAGGTGTTTATGATTATGGGGTTGCTCAGATTTCTCTTAAACCTACAAAGGTTTGAGTCTTATATTTAATAGTCATATTTAAAATAAATTTATTTAGAAACAAAGGCTAGTCTCCTCATGAGGAAGAATCCTAGGGGACTCCTACCTGTTACTATACCAGTTCACACTGCAGCTCTGGGATTTTATGTGCAGTTGTGCCATTCCATAAAAACAAAACACCAACAAAACTATCTGCATGTAGAAAAACAGCACCTCAAAGAGAAAGCTAACGTAGAATCACGATTGCCAGCCTCCAGGTGTTGGCTGATATCTCAGGGAACTTTTTTGTTTCCCCAAGTCTCCTAGCAGGAAGAAAAATCTGAGGATGATTGGTGCTGAAAGAGGAGGGTGGTTGTTGTTTTTTATATGAGATGTGTTCAAAGCCTAGACACATGTATTCATCCTTTCTCAGATGTTACCACGGCTCACTTGCTCAGTTTGAAGGTGCATGAATGCATGCATGATTGCTACACTTCTGGGCTGCCATTCTTTGGCATGTGCATTGCCTAAAAGCCAAGAACAAGGGGAGATGATGATGATGAGAGAAAGAGAGAAGCAGTGGGTGCATGCAGTTGAGCTCATAATGCCATTTGGGACAAAGCACAGAATGGAGCGCCTAGCTCAATTCAAGAGCCTTCTTGTTGAACAGGTCCGGTTAGCAAAGGTGCAGGGGGGAAACTTTTTCATGGGAAGTTGGCTATGAGTCCTCCACAAGTCTCAGGAGCAGTGTAAGGCCTGGGAAAACTCTCCACCTCTCATGTGTACAGTAGGATGCAAGTCCTTGTAGGAATGACAGTAAACACTGCAGCTGCTAAGTGCATTTTGCCACCTGACCAGAAATGGGGGGAAATGCCATTTTCCCTTGGGCTCAGGCCGCCATATTATCCAATTAGCTGTTTTTCACCAAGATTCTGAACCTATTTCTCCAGATACCTTTCGTTTCTCTTTCCACAATCAGCTGGCCCAGAAGCAGTTCTGTTCTCACTCAACCTTTGCCCTTCCACCTCACTGATAGTGCAAGAGCCTTCCCAGATGACATTTCCAGGGTCTACCTCCTTAGATTCTGGTCCTGAAATCTCAGGGAGTTGAATGCTGCTGACCTAACCATCAGTTACTATTCTTTCTGAGATGCCAATGGCCTACATTCTAAGGGGTTCATTATTTTTATAGAGGCTGCATACTTTGACCATCTCATGAGAAGAGAAGACCTTGATGTTAGGAAACTGTGACGGCAAGAGCAGGGGACGACAGAGGATGAGATGGTTGGACAGTGTCACTGAAGCTACCAAGATGAATTTGACACAACTACGGGAAGCAGTGGAAGATAGGAGGGCCTGGCGTGCTCTGGGCCATGGGGTCACGAAGAGTCGGACACGACTAAACGACTAAACGAACGAACGCATTCAAATACAGCACATTCTGCTATAATCCAACTGGAGTGTTATGTTTAAAAATGGGAAGAGAAGTTGCTTAGTTTAGTCTAGTTATTTTTTAGGAAAATGCTATGTCATCTGCTGCCTGACTTGCACTCTGCATATGCTCTGGAACTATGCTGAGGTTCTACCAGAATGTGAGTGTTAACTTAGGATAGCTAGCATTCTTGTTTGCTTGCGGGATTGTCTTTGAATTGTTCTTGCCACAAACCTTTTTTGAATGCTTATTTGCTCCACATCCTTTTGACTGTTTTTGTAACTTTTGAAGCAGTTTAGAAACTTTCTTGTTTTTTTATTTTTTCCCCACATCTTTAATAACATATAATATTTTACGGCTGCTTGATTATTTTGAGGAAAGAAGGTTTTATGGTCCTCAAAACCCAGCCTTCCCTCAATCATCTTTCCGTGTATTTTGTGGATACCTTTGATAGCTGTACCTTGGCAGGGTTGGCATGAGAGCCAAAGTGCTTCACCTGGAAGATTTTTGGTAATTCCTTAGAGCAGTGGTCCCCAACCTTGGGCCTCCAGATGTTCTTGGACTTCAACTCCCAGAAATCCTGGCCATCAGAGGTGGTGGTAAAGGCTTCTGGGAGTTGTGGTCCAAGAACATCTGGAGGCCCAAGGTTGGGGACCACCGCCCTAGAGCACTGCTTAGTATGAGTGACTGAAGTTGTTGGGAGGGTACCCGGCAGGATGATTTCTTCTAAGACATCAGCAGATTTGTCCCTCCTGGAATTACCCACACCATGATAGTTTGGGCAGTGCTGCTAAATGGTTTGTGTGGGCCTTTCGGCCTGGCATAATTTTGGCAGGGGCCACGTGATTTCTGTATATCTGCGAAGATCAGCTTACAAGTCTATTGAATAGATTTCTAAGCCCTCATTCTTACATTGCTCAATATAAAACAGCTTACCTTCTCACAAATTCATCAAAGAGAATGCGGTGAGAATAGCCTTGCCGGCGGATGTTGATGGTCTCTAGAATGCCAGTATAGCGTAGCTGCACTAAAACTCTTTCCTGAGAAAATCTAAGTGCCTCCCGGTCGTCATTGGGCTTAATGCAGCGAACAAAATGAGGCTGCCCAATCACCATTTTGGATAACAGATCCATCAGAGAATACTAAGGGAAAAAAGCAAAGCACAATAAAATCAAGTTCAACGGTGCAATTTTCTTTTAATGAAATGAAATTCTAGGTGTTCTACTCATACCTGTCACATTCCATCTAAAAAGCAGTGTCTAACAGTATCTAACAGACTTGAAAATAAGTTGGCAGGAAAAGATGCATAACATTGTAAAATCAGGTGTGCAAGATGAATTAATGTATCCCTTTTGAAATCAGCCACGTGATCCTCCACTTTCATCACCTATTAAAGAACAAAGGTGCAGGAAAAAGTTCTCTTTCAAAACTTCCTCTTTTAAGTCCCTTCCGAAGAACACTGATTTAGCAAAACATTTTCTGAGCCTCTCTTACTCTCATGCTAGCCTCCCGTTGGCTGTTCTCCTACTGCCACTCAACTGTCCTCAGCCCTGCTACAAAGAGGAGGTCACTTCCTGACTTGTCCGGCCACCCCTCTCCTGCCCACCTCTGGAAGACCACAACTCTGTATTCTATGCACAAGGTCTGATATACTATCAATGCTACTTTTGTGACATACTGATGTAGCAATAAGGTTATGGCCCACTTCTACATGTTATATTGTTTACCCTAAAATAGGAAGCCACCGTTTGCCTCTTCATGTTGGTTGTTTCTTCAGGATGCCTCATAATCTCCATGGTATCAACCTGCATATGGAAAGTCAGAGATGCATGATGCTGACTTACCAGTACATATTTCCCAGCATTGCTATAGTCTGTTCACTATATAATTCAAGCTTATATATTCCCTTTCCTAAAAGTGGAGACGGATTCTTTACTCAAAAAGACCCTGGCAAATGCCTTATCCCCATCTAAGAGACCATGTCATGGTCCCTAAGCTCGACATGAGGTGCCCTCTTGATAGGAGTAGTTGCAGAATGATGATGATGATTTGATGGTCTATCGTGTTAGGGGATACACATTCCTCGAGGTCTCCTTTTCTCCACATATCCGAACCCCAAGCCTGCTTGCTGATACCTTCTCTCTTGTGCATACATATGGGTAGTCTTGCTTGACTACATAAGCAATGGCATTCAAAGTCTGAACCTTGACCACAAAGGGAATGGTGTGCCATGTCACAGCCAATAGCCTAATTTTTAACTATGCGTACTGACTGCACAAGCTCTACAGAAACTAGAGCAGTGCTCAGTGGGTGGCAGCCACCATTAAAAAGAGGTGTATGTGTGTGTGTGTGTGTGTGAGAGAGAGAGAGAGAGAGAGAGAGAGAGAGAGAACAGGAATCAGTACTATCACTGCATTATGCTCCTTATGGAGCACAAAAGCATTTCTTCCCTTTACTGGGTGGCAGCCACCATTAAAAAGAGGTGTGTGTGTGTGTGTAGGCGGGGTATAAATCAAATAAATAAATAATAAATAAATACTACATGGAGTAGGTTTTCGTCACTTAATGTCACCAGTTAATTCATGCTGCCAAACTATAACTGGTTTACGTGAAAACAAACAAATACCTTCCCTTAGTGTTTAACACACATAAGAGGCAGGGCGTATACTGTTCATCAATTATGGTATGACTACAGCTGTTCTTTATTTTATATATGTGTATGTGTGATGACTTTGTGGTTGAAAAACAAAACCCCATTCCCCTTGTCAGCCATCAAGAGCAGCTTTGTTTTGCTGAAACATACAGTACAACAAAATTAAAGAAAACAATTGGCCAGTGTTCATATGGTGCATTATAAACATTTTGGTGCACACACATACTTTTGGCATCTGCATTATACACAATGATCTTCACATCCTGCGGTGTTTCCCAAACCTCATCTGATCAAGGCTGAAATTTTCAAAGGGGTTACAAGCAGAAGCCGGAAAAGACTGCTGTTCTCAAGATTGTAATTCTGTGCCTTACCTTGAGGAGATACTTAGGAGACTGCATGCAAAAGAGAAAAAAGAAGAAAGAACATCTAAACAGCATGACAGCAGCCACTGAGGGCATGGAGTGGGTGGGCAGGAAGAACGGATCTTGACCTAGTGCAAAGTGGCAGGGTGAGTGAGTGGGCAGAGAGGAAAGGTATAAACAGCCACCCTTTTGTCATCCATAAGAGCTGCTGTCTCTTGCCCTAAAGAGAAAATGTATTAAAATGCACTTCAGGTAAATATTGCAAAAGAAAAAAATGTACAGGGCTTTCAAAGTTAAATATACATATATATATCAAACGTTAAAGGAAAGCCCTATGTAGCAGAAGAGAAAAATGCTGTATCAGCAGACTTCAAACATTTCAAGAGGTCACATGGACAAGCAAATATCAATCCCCAGCTTAGAATTGCAGGGATGTCTAGAGGGAAGGAAGTAAGGGAGGATCTTTAGAATTCTCTTAGCTGGCAGAAATTCTTATACCCAAGTCAGGGGTGGCTTGACAGCCCATAACAACAAAAACATTAGCCCATCTGATGATTTTTGCAACTATGAATCCCCTCTTTCCTTGAGAAAGAATGAAGACTAGGTGGTGTTTTTTTTTTTAATTTGTGGTTACTTTTAGGTGGCCAGCTCAATATGAATTCTGTATGTTCAGTTCCATTTACAAAAGGATTTTTGGTTCGGTGAACTCTTTTGCAAATGGAGGCAGATGTTACTCATTCCCTTCTTTCTTGCATGACCTATTTGCTCCAGATGGTTGAAGGACAGAACAGAAGGTGGAGCAGGTTGCAGAAGTGGGAAGCAACAAAAACCTTCCCTAGCCCTTCCATCAAGGAAGCCACTGTATCTTGTACTAATGCTGATCATCCAGTGAAGAGTCACATACATTTCCTGTGTCACAGTTTGTACTGATGTGCAGCTTCTATCATGCCCCATTGTTAATTTATGTGATTTAGATGCATGGCCACTGCACCAGTGTGACGGAAATAGCTATGTTTTATAAGGAAGGCAGGGAAAAAAATGGAATGCCTTTTTCTCAGGATGGAAGTTTCAGAAAACACAAAACTTCCTGCAAAACCGGCAGTTCTACCTGTAATCCTCCTTCCTCCTCCACAGGATCCAGTTAAACTCGACTTACAATGTGAATCTTGCAGCATGGATTTTCCTGCTACTGACAGCAATGCCTGGTGTATGGAAATGGAACCAGAACATGATGTCACATGTTCAGTTCCACTAGAAATTATAAAGATCTTATAAATGAGAAGAGGAAAGAAAACACCTGTTCACCAGTGTAATTGGGTAGGATATACAGTATGGAAGTCTGAATAAATTTAGGCCATTCCTTTTTTAAAAAAAATTACCCCCCATGAATTGACGAATACCTTCATTACTTGTCGCTTCATGGAGGCAACTTCGCGCTTTGTGAGTCATCAACTTTTGACAACTCACGAAGCGGGACGACTCACCAAAATGGTGAGTTGTCCCCATCTCTAATTCTGAATCTTCTTTCTCTCTCAGTCTCACTGTGAGTCCATCCATTTCTGCACAGTCTAAAATCTTCTTAATTATCTCTTCTGTTGGTATTTCTTCATTTTTCCAATGTTGTGCAAATACAATTCTAGCTGTTGTCACAATATGCAGTGTTAGGTAAACGCATTGTTTATCAAAGTCCTCTGATAAAATACCTAATAAAAACAGTTCTGGTTTGAAATCTATACATTTTTTAAGCATTTTAACCAACCATGTGTGTATTTTACTCTAATTTTTGGGGTTTTTCACATGTCCACCATACATGATAATGGGTATCTACTTTTTGTTCGCATTTCCAACATTTACTAGACATATTTGGAAACATTTTTGCAATTCTGGTGGGTGGTAAGTGCCATTTATAAAACATTTTATAAAGATTTTCTTTATACGAAGTCGCCATTGTTATTTTACAATTTTTATTCCACAATTTCTGCCACTTCTCCATTTCAGTATTGTGCCCAAATATTGTGCCCAAAATTTTAGCTCATTGCACTATTGTTTCTTTCACCTGTTCATCTTCCATCTTCCAATTCAAAAGCAGTTTAGTATATAGTTTCTTAATTAGTTTATTGTCTGAGGTTAACAATATTTGTTCAAGCAGTATTTGTTCTTTATAAAAGCCTATCTTTATCGTATCTAGATTGAATTTGCATTAATGGCCACCATGACAAGCCTAATCCCTGAGCAATAAGATCTTGCTTTGGTTTTAATTTCCCTTCTGTATCTAGTATATCTTTATAGCATAAAATTTCCTCAAAGTTCCTAAGATTGGGTGCACAAATGCTTCCACAGGCAAAAGCCACCTAGGTATTTTTACGTACATTTTCTTTTTTATCTTTTCCCATATTATCAATAGTGAGTTTCTAATATAATGATTCCAAAAATATCTATGGGTTTTGGATTTTTCATACCATAAAAAGGCATGCCAGCACAATTGTAGATCATGTCCTTCTAGACAGAGCAGTCTTTTATTCCTCAAAGGGATCCATTATTTAAGCCAGACTAGGATACATACTTGGTAATACAGTTCCCAGTCTGGTAGTCTGAATCCTCCTTTACCTTTAAATTCTTGCAATATTTTCAGCTTAATTCTTGCCTTCTTCCCTTGCCAAATAAACTTCAAAATCATCTTGTTTAAATCCTCAAAGTATTTCTTTTCTATTTTAATTGATACTGTTTGAAACAAAAAAAAAGTAATTTTGGTAAGATAAACATTTTAATTGTCGCTATCTTTCCTAACATTGATAATTGTACGTTCTTCCATTTTTCCAAGTCTGTTTTTATTTGTTTAAGTAATTTTACATAGTTGTCTTCTTTGATGGTTGCACATCTTGCATATTCCCAAATATTTAACTTTGTAAACTATTTGTAACTTTAACATTTCCAATAGTTGGGTTTTTTGCCTAGCTGTTAATTTTTTTATAATAACTTTAGTTTTTTTCCTTGTTGATTTTCAGTCCTGCTACTTCTCCATATTCCTCAATCTTTTCTATTAATTTTGGTGTTGATTCCAGTGGGTCTTCTAAGATAAATACCAAATGGTCTGCAAATGCTTGTCGCTTGTAGCTTTCACTTTTTATTTTTGCTCCTTTAGCTTCCAGATCCTGTCTCACATTTCTGTTGAGCACTCCCAGGGTCAATATAAACAGCAGAAGGGAGAAAGGGCATCCTTGTCTTGTGCCTTTTTAAAATCTTAATGTCTTCAGTCCGTTCGCCATTTATGATTATTTTCGCTGTTTGATTCTTATAGATTGTCTTAATTATATTTATAAATTTCTCTTCCAGGTCCATTATGTTCAACTGCTGTATCATAAATTGCCAGCTGATAATATAATGTTCAACTGCTGTATCATAAATTGCCAGCTGACATTATCGAATGCTTTTTGAGCATCAAGAAATAGTAATGTCATTTGCTTCCCTGGAATAGTAATGCCATTTGTTTCCATTTCATTTCATAATATTCCAGCATATCCTAAATTATCCTTAGGTTATATCTTAGTTGTCTTTTTGGTAGGAATCCATTTTGATCTTGGTGTATACATTTGATCAGAAATTTTTTGAGTCTCTCTGTCATAATTGCTGTTGAAATTTTGTAATCCACATTTAAAAGCGATACTGGTCTGTAGTTTTTATTTGTGTTAGATCTTCTTTTGGTATTAAAGTAATGTTTGCCCCTAGCCATGTTTTTCGTATTTTGGCTTCTATTAAGACTTCATTGCAAACTTTTTTCATTGGTAAGGACAGTATGTCCTGGAAAAATTTGTAAAATTCTGTTTGTAATCCATCTGGTCCTGGAGTTTTATCTTTTTGTTTTTGTTTTTGTTTTTATTCTATCATTGTTATTTCCCTATTTAGTAGATTTTTAATGTCTTGTGATACTTTTGGTAAGTTTGCTTTTTCAATATATTGTATTTTTTTTCTGGACATTTTTTGTGTATCATATAATTTCTCATATAAATCTTTAATTACTCCCTTATTTTTTTCATTGTGGAATTGTAAGTCTCCTTTTTCATCCCCCAATTTATTTATCACTCTTTTTTGTTTCTCTTTTATTGATCTTTTTGCTAGCTATCTTCCTGGTTTGTTGGCATTTTCGGGGAAAATTTGTTTGGCTCTCATAATTTGTTGTGCTACTTTTTCTTCCTCTACTAGGTTTATTTTATGCTTTAATAACTCTGTTTGTTTTTTGAATAATCCCTTCTGTGGATTTTTTTGCAATTCTAATTCCCATTTCTTATATTTTCCCTTTAGTTTTGTATATTGTTGTCTCTTTTCTTTATTTTTCTTGGCCATATATGTAGTAGTTATTCCCCGGCCTTGGTTGTGTCCCAGATAGTTTGGAGAGAGGTCTCTTCTATTTTCTCTAAAGAAGAATTCCATTTCTTTCTTGGCTCTTTCTATAAATTCTTTTTTTTTCAGTATAGTTTTATATTAATTCCAATTTAGAGAGTTTTTTTCTCCTTTCCATTGTATATTCATTGGATTATGGTCTGCCCATATACTTGTTTCTGTTTTCACCTCTTGAGTTCCTGCCCCCAGTTCCGGGGAAATCCAAACCATACCAATTCTGGACCAAGATTTATGAGTAGAAGGTTTTTTAATGTTTATTTCCCTCCATATATCCTATAGGCCCAATTCTTCCATCATCTGAAAGAAAATTTTGGGGAGTTTCTTATTTCCTTTTTTCAAATTTAGGCCTTTCCTATTGGCCACTTGGTGCTGTTTCTCACCATGCCCTGTTGAAGTGGATATGAGGAACAGAAGAGGGTACGCCTAGACTCTTGTATGGACGGCCTTTAATAGCTTAGTTTTAACTTGTGAACAAAAACTTGATCTAGGCAGGCCTGGTGTATCTCCAACTTTTCAAACCATTTAACTCACTTGTGACAGGAGCAGGGAGGAGGTTAAATGTTTGCTCAGGAACAAATGAATCATTTTCATAAGGGAGATTACAAACTAATCATCCAATGTGCAACTAAAATGAAGAGTCAATGCAAAAACGTGGTAGGGGGGGAAAAGATTGTGGTGCTCAAATAGAGATTCATCAAGTCCAAAGGAAGCAACTCAGCAAACATTGATATTGTTGTTGGTGGTGGTGTCATTATTTCAGATGTTGCAGATTGTTTGAACACAATTATGTGATTTGGATTTCATGAACAAATAAATGTAAGAAAGAATTCAAAGGAAACACTAGACAATAAAGAAGACCTTTTATTCACCCCTAGTTTTAATAAGATGTAGCTTTCCATCCTGCCGTCATCACATCTGGATAATAACGGTTGCATTGCAGAATTACATAAAAACAAACCCCTGAATCTCCGTTAATGCAAACCAAGTGGCCTCACATCAGTTAAAAAGCTGCTTTGCTGTCTCACTGCAATATGTTTCTGATCTCTCTTCAAACATACAAACAAGAGCTGTAGTATGTACTGTACTGACCTTGATACGACCAGCACTGAGCTGTGGAGGCAACGATCTGGATGCGGCTGTCACTCTTGCTCTTGTATGAGCCAAGTTACCTGTGGAGAGAGAGAGACACAGTGAAAGAGAGATGTTGTGCAGGCAGTAAACATTTGGACCACGGTAGGAAAGATTGTGAAAAATAAAGGAAGGAAGATGGAAAAGGAGTCTGAACAACAGCAACAGGAATGCTACCAGGAAGTATAGAAGAGTGCAAAGAGGAAAAGGTTACTAAGCAAATCATTATTACTGTTAATGGGGGTAAAGAGTTGGGTTTTCACAATGAAATTGCCTTTTTATATACAAATGCACACACAGGGAATAGTTGTGAGTGTAAGATATCACTCTCTAGGCTAGGAATAAGCAACATCCAGAGGTCCAGTGGCTGCATATGGCCATCTCAAACCTTGGGAGGAGGAACTGTCTCTTACATCTCTCACCCCCCAAAATATTTTTCTTTCAAAACCATTCTTTTTACCCATGTCTCACCCACTCTTGTAGCCAATTAAAATAATAATAATTGGGGATGTAGGGCAGCACCAAAACTTGGCAAAAATGTTCTGCTTGCTCACCAAACGGCATGAGGAGAATTTTTGAGCATTACTGTATTTTTAAATCAACTTTTTGTGGAATGGGATAGGAAAACAAAGTGCGATGAGCAGCATTTTGTCCAATCTGCCCTAGCCTCAAGCTTTATTTTTCCATAGGTCCATCACTCTGTGGAGAGGCTCCTTGTTAACAGCATCAGCATCTTGAATGGATAGAGGGCAGGGCAGGAGAGAGGCACAAGGCACTGCCCCAATCCTTTTCACATGTTTAGACATTGGTGTGCAAATGCATGCATGTGGGGCTTTACTCTCTAACATTAACATCATTGTACTTGTGTGTGTGTGTGTTTAGTCGTTTAGTCGTGTCCGACTCTTCGTGACCCCATGGACCAGAGCACGCCAGGCCCTCCTGTCTTCTACTGCCTCCCGGAGTTGTGTCAGGTTCATGTTGGTTGTTTCGCAGACACTGTCCAGCCATCTCATCCTCGGTCGTCCCCTTCTCCTCTTGCCATCATACTTTCCCAACATCAGGGTCTTTTCCAGGGAGTCTTTTCTTCTCATTAGATGGCCAAAGTACTGGAGCCTCAGCTTCAGGATCTGTCCTTCCAGTGAGCACTCAGGGTTGATTTCCTTTAGAACTGATAGGTTTGTTCTCCTTGCAGTCCAGGGGATTCTCAAGAGCCTCCTCCAGCACCACAATTCAAAGGCATCAATTCTTCGGCGGTCTGCTTTCTTTATGGTCCAGCTCTCACTTCCATACATCACGACAGGAAAAACCATAGCTTTGACTATTCGGACTTTTGTTGGCAAGGTGATGTCTCTGCTTTTCAAGATGCTGTCCAGATTTGTCATCGCTTTCCTCCCAAGAAGAAGGCGCCTTGAGCTCAGCAGAATATTCCGGAATATTGTGGACTTGAACTGAAGACTGAATCTGGGACCTAACCTTATGTAACCGTTGGGACTGCGTTTGCTGCTTAAGCCCCAGAAGCCATCCTTCCAGGAAAGAGGGGAACAGGCAATTACAACAGCCCAAGCCATGATTTACACCAGAGACAGAATGTCTTGCTAGACCAATCGGGCCTAACATAAACAAAGGCCGAAGCTGGGCCTTGTGCTCTTGCCTTGTCAAAAGAGCAAAAAGTAGCTCATGAAACTTGAATATTAACTCTGACAGGAACTAAAGCCCAACATACTTCTAATTAAGTGACTGTGCAGACTGTAGTTCAGAGAGGGTCCAGGAATGGATATGCTGTTGTTCCAAATTTGCAGCCTGTTGGCAAAGGGTATTCCTGAGTCAGCTTTGTGTTGTTGAGCCTGCCAAACCTGCTTTCTTTATTTCATCCTTAAGACTCCCTATGGGACACAGGATGGCAGCCATTGCTGTTCAGCCTTTCAGATTGCATTATTTGCATGTGCAAAAACTTCTGTCAGGGCCATCAATAATTCACTGTCTTACAGGTGAGGCGGTGGTGGAATGTGGGGTCTTGTTCTCAGGGTTTATATTCCTAGCTAGCTTGTTATATGCAGAGTTTCTGAAATGAAATAAGCCCTCAAAAGTGTTGCCTACTCTTTTATTTGCAGCATGAAGTGGTAAAGTTCAGATTCATTCTGCTTCCTGATTCTATGTATCATATGGGAAATGTTGGGGAGTCAGAGATGACTCGAAGGTGAAACCCAAAAGCTTAAAGAGGGAACTGCTGAGTATCAGCACTAAGATGCCTTAGAAGAGCTACTAGTTCCAGCTTCTCATAAACTCTGATCCGCTGGGCTGGGACTGAAAGTTGATGCAGATATGATGAAACAACCGTTGACTTTCTGACACTAAAAGATGGCTTTCTCTTCAGCAGTGAATGGCTCTATCTCTGTGACACTCTCTAATCTGGATGATGTTGATTAAGCCATAGGGGGTTGACCTTAATTTCCCTTAGAGTGGGATAAGCATTTGAACTATCTCACCCTCCTGGTGCTATGGTTTCAAAGTCTGTCTAGATTAATTTATCAAAAACAATGGACGTGATCCAGCCCAAAGTTAATCATCTTTAAATACCTTGGGTTTTAAAAGAAAGAGTAGACAAGCATTGATTTCTCTCCAGCTAAAACCTATGGGTCAAAAAAAATCCTATTTTGCCTAGAGTGTTGGAGGGTGGAAACCAACTGTATAGCTTGTGGACATCTTTGAGGAGTATTTTTGTCAACATTTTTAGGGGTTTCTCATTTTTATTTTTGCAGACTGTGCTCTTTTTTTTTTCTTCCCTTAAGAGGGAGCAGGAAGTTTTTTTAAAAAAAATAAAAGCTTCAAGAAGAAGAAGGGATGTGATGGGGACTATCCATGTGCAAGCCATTCCAGATACATTTCAAAGTTTTAAGTAGTGAGTGGAGCACAAGATGTCCAAATGTTTTCTCTGGCTACATATCTTCAGAGGCTAAACTGTGATTAATAGCATTGAAAGAACCCTTTGAAGCAGGATTGGTGACATCAAAGCCCTAATCCATGGGTGGCAGGATTTTTATAATGAGTGGGAAGCATTTTAACACATTTCAAAGGATTTACAGCATGAATAAACAATAGGCCACTGCAGATGTGCCACACACCTTTCAGAAATATAACACAAATAAGTTTCCATTTTAATTTAAATGTAAATAAAGTGTTAACATTTCTTTCAGATGTTTAAAAATGCCCTGTTTGCAGCAACGCCACTGTTTTACTCATTCCTTTGCAAAAAGGGTATATTAATTCTAAGCAACCTTCTTTATCTTCAAATTATAGCCAAGAGTATATCATTGAAAATGGATGATATTGAATCAACAAAAGCAGAGCCTGTTTTTTTTAAAAAAATGCAATTTGTTGCATAGGATGCAAAATGCAATTAATACACTGGCAACATTATATTGAAACAAATCTTTCACATTCAGTGTAGTCGTTTTCGTTTCTAGCAAACTCTTTTGAAAATACTGTCAGAACTGGCACGGAAATACAGAAATTTTATAGGCAGCAAAAATTGTCATTCACATCCAATTTTTCTTCCTTAAAAACAAAACAAAACACCCTAGCTATTGGGCAAATTTGAAAAAATATGCTCAGAAAGTTTTTTTTAAAATTGTATTCGCAAAGGCTTTCATGGCCGGGCTTTTTTTAAAAATTCTATTAATTTCTTTTTTTCTCAGTGGATTTCTATAGCCAGTAACACAGAGACACATACCTCTAAGTTTGGATTATAATCATTATTATTTTACAGTAATCTTGCATTTCCTTGTCAAGATACATTTAAAGGGAGAAAGTTCGAGCTGAGGATGCAGAAAGCAGCAAGGTTTGGGGGCTCTAGTGTTCCTTTGTGGTGCCTAATACAGAAACATATTAGTTGTAAAGCAATAGGTGTATGCAAATGAAAACACTCATCAGAACTGTAAACAGATGGAGCAGACTGGGAATCAGGCAAGGGAAAATTTCTTCCCGTCCCTTTTCGCATAACGACAAAATAGTTTATGGAGCTCCATCTAATGCACCTTATATAGAAAATGTTTTTTGATCTGTCCACCAAATGTATCTTGAAGTAATGTATCAACACAGTAACCATCCCTTCCTTTGCCCATCAGCACTTGGAATTATGGGTTTCTTGCAAGATCTATGTGTATTGCTTCCCAAGGAGATGAGGAGGAAATGCATTTGTGTTTACAACAATTTATTTTTAAATACCGTGTTTCCCAGAAAATAAGACAGGGTCTTATATCAATTTTTGCTCAAAGAAACGCATTAGAGCCTCTTTTCAGGAAATGTTCTATTTTCTTTTTTAATGTACAACCATCTACATTAATTCAAATAAAGTCATGTCCTCTTCTTCTGGTTGCTGCACAATGGTGGAGGGTGGGGTTTCACTTAACTAGAGCTTATTTTTTGAGTAGGACTTATATTACAAGCATCCTGAAAAATCATACTAGGGCTTATTTTCAGGTTAGGTCTTATTTTCAGGGAAACAGGGTAATGGGGACCACAGGTGTTTTCATGGGGAAATGATATTCTTAGACTCATTGGCTAGGCTGCAGAGAAGCCTGCATATATAAATGAGTGAACAGAAAACCAGCACTCAGCAAGACACTTCAAACTTCAGGCTTGCTTATTTTTTAACTAGAAGATCTAAGTCCATCAACTCGAACCAGTTGCAAAACAATGGTTGGGTAAGACATGGGGTGGAGCTAGCTGGCAACAAAATCATGTACCCTTAAAGCTCATGAATGCTGCACATATATTCTACATACATATAAATATAGATCTGCTCAAAGTTAGACTTTCTAATATCTAGATTGAAACTAGGCAAGTGATGAGCACAAAGAGTTTAAAAAGATTAACAGTGGATATTTATATTTTACAGGCAAGGAACACTTGTGTTATAAGGTAAGCAATTAGCACAAGGTCATTTACAGCAAATATATTTTCTTTTCAGTTTTTTCTTCTTCTGTATACTAACAGCAAATTTCTTTTCCAGCTGCTTACCATGATGCAGCCCAAATGGGACAATTCATGGACTATTAGGAGATGCAACGTGGATGGTAGGGAAACCATATTTACTGCAGTACAAAATATCTTTTGGGGTGGGGAACTAAATGAGAGGGTGACACTCCTGGAGCAAACCACCAGAATGAACATTGACATTGTCTGGGGGACGGGAAAACAGCAAGGGGAGGAGCAATGGTATGTCCTTGAAAAGGGTATAACTGACTCTCTGGAACTCTGGCCGGGAACGCTTCACACTGCAAAGTTTTGTTGCAGTTCCCCCTTCTCATTTTCAGATATTAAATGTTTGGAGTGGGACTCGCAATGACCTACTGGACATCTCCCCAATATCTATTCTTAGCTCCTAGTCTGCCTTCTCCTCATACACATGGAACAAGCTTCATATTTGGACATTTCCAGAGAAGTTTCTTTTAACTGGGAGTTCAACTGCAAAGGGCAGACAGTGTAGTGGGAAGCTAGTTTTCCAAAGGAGAAACTGGCATGGTTGAATTTCCAATATCTATATTTAGCCCGAAGGAAAATATTATATAATTTCTGGTGACAATATTTATTATAATTCAGTACCGAAACAGCTTTCCATGTAATTGTTTGAAGATTGATTTAGTAAGCTTCAACAATGTTGCAGCATTATGTGTTCCTGACTACTAAACAGAAGCTGGAAAACTTATTTTAATTTCCTTGCTTCCAATACGTAATATCTGGCAAAGTCAATCTAATCAGAAACATCGGTTCCGAATTCTGGTGTTAGTACTATTAGGACAACGCCCAAGAGGAACACAAGAACATGTCAACACGTGGAGGATATATATATTTTGTTTCTGTAGTGTGCTATCTTCAAAATGCTATTAAAGGAAGGATACTTAGTCAGCCAATAATGGAAACTATGTTTTCTCCTAAATACTGTACATGTGATGGCAAATGTAGAAACATGTTAGTGATGGTGGGCCACTGTCCCCTAACTCAGCATGGAAAAAGTTGTGTTTTTCAGTTTCTCCCAGAGAATCTCCAGGAGGAACTCAAGGTTTATCTCCATCTTTGCCCAGAAAGTTTAGAAAAACTAATGGAAAGGGGCACCCTTACGCTTTTCCTGTGAGTAAGCAGACTCCTCACACCCACTTCCAGGCGCGACCATTCTTCTCATCCATCAAATCATTTCTGAAAAACTTTTATTCAAATATTTAAAAACTGAGAAATGATCCTGCCTCCAAATAGAACAGCCATTCCATACTCTGTGATTTAGAACACCATTGATGTGCTCCCCTACATATTAAAAACTGCTGCCATAGTGCAGTTCTCCAGAATTAACTAAAGCAAACATCTTACAAGACACTAGAATAGGATGCTCTTCTGTAATGCTGTCCCCTGCCCAATAACAAACATGCAATCACGTTTTTTAAAATTAGGGGGGAAAAAACAATTTTATTTATTTATTCAATTTATTCAATTTTCCCAGTGCTGCTCCCCGTGTATTCCTGCATCCTTCCCTGTGTCTTCCATGCATTAACCTTTTTTTTCCTCCTCCTCTCACCCAAAACAGCCTGTCACTATGGAACTGATGTCTTTCTTCTCCAGGCATAGGAAGCCTTTGACTCTCTGCATGTTTTGGATTTCCAATCCCATCAGACCCACTAAGCATAGCCAATGGCAGTGGATTATGGGAGCTGTAGTTCAAAACATCAAAACAGCAAAATATTTTCCATCCCTGCTCTGACCCCAGTGAAGGTCAATGAAATGTTAAGAGGAAGCATGGATGTCTGGAGGTTATGGGCTATGTAAGAACAATATGTCAAGACTGGGTCAATGAAATGTTAAGAGGAAGCATGGATGTCTGGAGGTTACGGGCTATGTAAGAACAATATGTCAAGACTAGAACATACCAACTTTTAAGATAGCATGTCCAGCACAGCTGGTGGTGAAGGCTTCTGGGAGTTGCAGTCCAAAAACACCTGAGCAACCCAAGGTTAAGAACCACTGCTGTAGAACATACCAACTTTTAAGATAGCATAAAAGTTAAGAAAGGCACCCAGAACAACAGTGCCAATTTGCAATGCAGATTTGTCTCCTCTAAGGCTACCTTCTGAAATTAGGAAGTGTAAAGTAGCTGCCTTGAGACAGCAGGTTTTGAGAAAGCAGTAGCAAATTATCCATCATTTACTTTGTTATTTTTGGACCTTTACAGCTAGTGAGAAGAAAAAGCACTTACAGCAAATTCTGTATTTATAGATGGAAATGATTTGGTTAGCATTAAGTACTGTTTACCTTGACTTTGAAGGGGTGCTTTTCCTCAGGTGGCAAAAGGTTGGGGACCAAGTCTGATGTCCTCAGAAGAAACAGCACCCTCCTCCGGCTCCTCAAAACCTGCTGGCCGTGAAATGGACCTCCTTGCCTATCACTGACTGCATTCAAAACTGTGCTCTGCCCCATTGACACCCACCTGCCAAGAACAACAGTGGTGTCTCAGCCCAGCTTTGTCAGATGGATTCAGATCACACGACCCATTGATTCTCTTGGGGCTTTATTGAAAGGTGGTATAGAAATGGTAGGAACAAAATGGGGATATCTGTGGGTGTTAAATATAATTCCACAAATCACAGAAGTAACTTGTCACCAATTAGGGATTCATCATGCGCATTTCTGATCACATGCCAGTCATGTGACTTTGCGTGCAAGCAGAAATGCAAGCAGCAACTTGTTAATAAGCATCAATTCACTGCTGCAATTTATACAGTGATAGTTATGCCAGTGTAAATCCCTGATTAGATTCTGGTTAGTGAACACAAAAATAACCAAGATTCATCACTAGTTGAGCAAACGTCACCTATATAAACTTCCTAGGATGAAGGTTTTATCTTCTTGTTGCACAAGAGAACAGCATGACTATGACACCATCTACTGTCTCTCTCCTGTCACTTCTGTTTCCGTCATTTTGCTCCCCAAGCCTGAGATGACGTCCCTTCTCTTTTTTTTTTCCCAACAAGCCACCTGCTTGCTCTCCTTTATTGTCTCATTACGAGACCACTTCTCTATATTACACGAAGGACATCGTCTCCCCATCCATTTCCCTGTCATGTTCTTTATGGCTCCCCGCATTCGGCTGCATCCAGCGGGTAAGAGTTGCCAGGAAGGTTGCTCTGAGAAAGCAAGTGGGTAAAAGGCAAAAGCACACAGGTTGCCAAGTCTATGCACACTTACATGGGAGTAAGACCTCTGAACTCAGGAAGACTTATTTTTGGCAGACATGCGTTGAGCAGTCCTTTTCCAACCATTATCCTAAAAATAGGAAACCCCGTTTCACCCACCCACCCCTGTCAAGTTGATTAGAGGGCTTTAAGCCTGTCACACTCTCTCAACCTGATTGGCCTCACGGAGCTCTGAGGATAAAACAGGGGAGGGGAAAGTGAGCAGTATATGCCACTGGAGGAAAGGTGAAATATCAATATAAGCAAGGAACAAACAGGAGTGTACTGTTAAGAGCATACCTGCACACTTTCTGGGAAAAAAAGGCTGTTTTTTTATTGTTAAGATCTCCCATGGGATTCATCTACCTCTTCCTCCCTTTGCATTTATAATAGAGCACCTTTTGTTTGTCTGTTCCAGGCAGGGGGTTCCCGGAGATGTAGACCCTCTATTTAGGCTGCAGGCTTATGCCCCCTGAGTGACCTAGAAACAACCCCACGAAATTCACTTCAGAGTCGAGAACCAAAGTGCAGGAAAACTAGTTTTCACTGTCTTGGGAATTCTAGAAACTGAAAAAGGATTTTTTCCCCCAAGCTTTTTTTTCCAGCAAACAAGCAGAGGATTGTGCTGTTAGGCTATCTCACAAAAGCATCGCAATCATTTCAGATGAGTCCCTCCTTCTCTTGCTTTCTCTCAATTGACCATTAAAAAAAGCAATGCATTTGAGGTAAGGCGACAGCTCTGTTGACAGACCTCTCCATGCTTGCCTTTTATTTTAAAAGAGCCATCCTTTGGGGGTTCTGATTTTACCAAGTGGCTCTGGGCGAGGTGGTGCTTTCCTCTGCTACCGGTGCTGTTAAACAGGTGCTCTTGGGCGCATATCTTTATCTTCTGCTCCTGCAGAAGATCTTAAGATAGAGGAAGGCTTGGATAAGACAAATCCCTTCCTCTCACAGCTCCATTGGGTTTTTAAAAGTCAGAATATGCAGTCATTGATCTCTCACCCCAGGGCTGCTGCTTCTACTTGTTTTTATTTCCAACACCTCTTCATGATGTCTTTCTTAGCCCTCTGAAAATTCCTCTCGTTTCATCCTGGCCCTCAGAACGCCTGCTACGCCCTCTCACTTGGGAACCTTACAGAGGCTTCTGTTAACAGTATTTCCTCTCAGGTTCGGTTTGTTCTACAAAAACCAACAAATGCTGAAGACACCCAGTCTTTTCTGATTTCAGAAACTAAGCAGGATTGGACCTGGTTAGTGTTTGAATGAGAAACCACCAGGAAATAATAGGAATCTCCAGGCAGGGCTAGGAAAAATCGGGCCTCAGACCTAGAGGGAAGCTGCCAGCCTGTGTCGACAATACTGGGGTAGATGGACTACTGGTCTGCCTCAAGAATAGAGGAAGCTTGTGCCTTCATACTAGACAAATCTCATACATCACAACCTTCTGCAACTTGGTGTCCTCCAAATGTATTCAACACAACCATGACTCCTAGAAACCAACATCCATGGGCACCACATTTTGAGGTGCATGGAGGGCTCTCCTACATGAATCTGGCTGAAAATTAAATTCTTCCTGAGAAACTCTTTTCCAAGCCTCCCAACACTAAAGGGTCAGTAATTTGACTACTGGGGAGAGGTACCCAAACACTCTCCTCTGACGCATGCTAGCCGGATGTCTTGCATTCTCTGACCGTCTTCCAGGCACAAAGTCCAGCCTCTTGGTTCTTTTCCGCCTTTCCTGTCTTTCACCTATGACTGGAGAGTTCCTTCATCTGTTGCTTAACTTCTGTTTGATACCAGCATCACAACACAAGCATGTATTTATTTACTGGTTTGCATTGTTCTCATGGACTTCAGCCTCTTCTGTCTTAAACAGGACTGTGGTTTTTTTGCAAGGGAATCCACCCCTCCCCCCCAAACAGAAACAAACCACCTACAAATGAGTAACTACTTTTAATGCTGGAGTTGACCTGACCGAAAGGAAAGTCTCTTTTAGACCTCAGAATACACAGCAGATTTCAGCAGGCCACTAATTTGCACCCTTCTCTTTGAGTTCCTTAGGAACTCAACTACAATACGATGTCTTTTTATGTGTTGATTTATTTAAGCTTACATTTAGTGATTAACACAACCCCAATGTTTCCCTCCCTCCCTTTTATTCCCACAACAGCCCCGTGGGGCAGACTACAGCGAGAGATGGTTACCTAGTGAGCCTGATGTTTGGAGCCTATGCTGCAGAAGTCCACCATTCCAACAAGATATCACGCTGGTTCTCATGCTGGATGTTGCTCCCTAAGCACATAAAACAGAAACTAAAACTAAGGAGCCTTAAGTGGAGATGGAGGTGCTAATTTTTAAAACCGAGAAACTACTGGAGGTGGAATATTATTTCTTCTTTCTGAATTAGTATTTAGGCTCACATCAGTATGGGCTTTTATATAAGGACAAGAAATAAAAATATTCAGTTCCTGAAGCACATAGTCTTCGAGGGAATTCGTTTTCATTTCTTCTTAATTAATGGCACGAGCAAGTGCTCAGCTGCGGAAGGTCTCCTACCATTCACTGCTCGTGCTTCTCAGCGTTGAGCGTGTACAAGGAGTCAAAAAGAAGAAGAAAAGCCGAAACCACTGGCAGGAAAACAGACAGTAAGGGTTCCGAAGACCACTGACCTTTGGTGCCTGCTGTGTGCTGAAGGGGCACTGAGGGTGGACCTTGTCAAAACAAAGTACAAAATCAGAGCACTACAGCACCACCTTTGTCTTCATGCAAAACGCGAACATCAGCATAGAAGTAAAATTCGGCACAGACACGGAGGTTGATATTCCAAAGCGTAGGGAGTGGGGTGTTACACTGAAAGAATGCACAAGGGGAGGCTGGTGGAGGGGGTTTACATGAGCTAGCCTTGCACCCCTCTGCCGCCATTGAGAGCCACACCCGCAACCAACAGGGTGACCGGTTGCCCCACTTCAGCGTGTTCAAAAGGCATTGGAAGGGGCCTGAAGTGGACGCCAATGTCCAGGCACAAGAGTGCTGTCATGTGATTAGGTTGCCTTCTCACATGCAGGAGTTCTACGTTGTATACACAGGTACGTTTATAGAGCCTCTTCTGGCACAGACTGCTGGGGCAAACCTGTTTTTCTTTCTCCCATGTTCAAACCAGGCATATTTTCGTAAGTTCTGAAGAAAAATGAACTGAACTGAAATTCTCACCCATCACAATGGACAGGCAATTCTGCCAATCTGGTTTCCCTCCACAAATTTAGGATTTCCCCACCACCACCACTAAATTTGAGATTTTTTTAAAAAAAAATCAGAAACTATCGGAAACAAAATTGCCACTCAAACAAAAAGCAGGGAGGAGGAAGGGACACGAACCCACGCTATCCCACTGCCCATCCACGGCATTCTTTCAAAATGTGCAAGGGTTCACGCAAAGCCCATGTTTCATTGCTAAGTACTATAAACATTAATAGGAAATGCTGAAGAAATAGATAAACATGCAAAAGTCACACAGAGAACAGGCTGGCCGACAACACTGGTTTCCAGAGGGAAAATAGCTAGCTACAATTCATATAGAATCATGCACTTAGTAGCTTTGAATATGAAAGAAAGAAAGAAAGAAAGAAAACCCGTGCCAATGAGTTCATAAAAATGAACTAGCCTACTGGACATAACACTCAGTGCATGCAATAATTTAACGCTTCAATATCCAGCCTTAGACACCCATGACAGCAGCATTATTAATTATGCCATTGGAACTAGTTCATGTTGTGCTGATACCCATGTTCGATTCTCTAACTTATAAGACACTTCACAGCTTCTAAGTTAGGCTTTATAATAAATTCACTTTTAATTCAAAAAATTCATGCTGTCAAACCATTTCATTGTTTCAGTTACTGCCTCTGTAGTAAAATGTGCTTTTCAACCCAATAATTAATATCAGTAACAGTTATTTTTTCCTAGTGTGCACACATCTCTATCTTAATATCTATAACAATTTTAATGCATTCACAGTAAAGAGAACCATTAAGATGAATCATTTTGCAGAGAGGAAAAAAACCACTCACATTTGTTTATTTATACATTTATAAAATGAGCTGTAAAATAAATGTGTCAATAATTCATTTAGACTTCAGTCACTCAGTTGATGGAACTGCTTCTGTCTGTCAGCAGAACTGAATGTGAAACAATTCCCTCTACTACACACACAGACACACAAACATGCACACACAGAAACACACACACACCATACTTAAAAACCTGCTCCAGACTGTTTAGTGACTGACTGTTCAGCCTCATTGAATTTGATCAGACTTCCTCCTCAGTAGACAAAACCTAGTATGTCTGTACCCAAATCTTGGAAGTAAGTTCCATTGAACATATTCAGTGGCACTTACTTCTGGGCAGATGCATATAAGATTATGTTATACAGCACCATCCCCAGGGTGATGCACAGCAAAATGGAAAACATTGAAACCAATATAAATAAAGTAAAGTAAAACCACAATGAAAACAAGCAGTGAAAAAACCAACAGCAGATAAATCAACTTTGATTATCCTTTAGAAGTCAAATCTGGCTTTGCCTGGTGCCAAAAAGATAATAGAGCTGGCAGCTGTGAAATAAGTAACTAAGAGTACACAAGGTAAGGAAACACCTTTAATGGTTATCCCTAATCTAAATAGTACATACTGGAAGTAGCCCACCATGAAGGACAAAGCAGCCTTAGCAGTACACACACACACACACACACACACAGAGAGAGAGAGAGAGAGAGAGAGAGAGAGAGAGAGAGATTTGTGTGAAGCGCGGCAGGAATTTAATTGCAGGCGACATTCACATCAAGGTGGGACACATTTTTGTGTGGCCACATCTTCATCCTCCTTTGGAGGGAAACTTCAAGGCCAGAAACTGGTCTCCATCCCTCCTTTGATTTTCAAGGCATTCAAAGGATACAGGTGGAATTAGAACGCAGCAACTTCAGACAAACATGCTTTCTTTCTCCCAACAGTGAGTGAGACAGACTTCTATGCACTGCAACAGGGCAATCCTCAAGCTACCAATGGATAGTAAGGACTAAGAAGACATTGTCATGGAAAGTCACTTCCACTGGTCCATATAAATAATGTCTCATAGTCCACACCTCTGTATTTCAAAACCCATGTTTTATTTGGGCTTACTTGTTCGCTTTTCTTATATTATCACATTAATTCTGCAAGGCTCGCCTTGATTCTATCATCCATGCCTGAGCAACAAAAACTGTTCATTCTGGAATCTTTCTAGAACAGTGGTCCCCAACCTGGGGATATCCCAGGTGTTCTTAGAATACAACTCTGAGAAATCCAGGTCAGCACAGCTAGTGGTGAAGACGTCTGGGAATTTTAGTCCAGGAACATCTGGAACCTACGGTTGGGAACCATTGTTCTAGAACAGCGTTTTCCAACTTGGAGGTCATGACCCCAAAGGGTCGCAAAGTGTTTTCTGATAATTCTGAGGTGCTTCACACAGGCTAAAGTGTTTTTTTAAAACTTAGAGTCCCTGAGCCTTTAGCTAAATAGGGGAAGACAAGGATATAAAACAGGAACAAGTGATTCTTTATTAACAGAAACTCTAGTTTTCTGAGGATGTATACTACAAACAATGAAATCAGATCAATAACTATTTTGGCAACATGGCATGTGACTTTTCCATTCTTTTCATGGCAAATCATTCTCTTTCTCTTCCTGGAATGTGCATTTTTGTGAAATTTGTTGGGCCCAAAATCTCTCTTATTATCCTGTGGTACTTCACGTTCCTGGAGCTAAGTTTCCAAATGGTAAAACCTGCAGGAGTGGTGCCTGTTGTTTAAAGAATCGGGTGTGTATTACTTTTTGGATTGTTTGGAATAACATGGGTTCTACATGGAGATGAGACAATCTCAGGACAAGGAGTTTCCTTGTAGACTTGGGTTTGACAGGAACATAGAGACCCTGAAAGAAAGATAGTCATCTAAGGAATGAACCAGTAGAAACAATGGTTAATTTCATGTATCCCTTGAAGTCAACAGAAAAATAATATTTTAGCCATGTTTCTTAAGGTTCAGAATGAGTTCTTCAAACCAAGAGTGATAGAAGAAAGTAGTAGACACTTGGGGCAATTGGCAGGGTATAAGTCTGTGCAGCAGCACCTCCATGGGTATTGCACAGTATCTTGTCTTGAATATAGTGGGGTCTTGACTTGAGAACTTAATCCGTATTGGAAGTCAAAAAGTCAAAAAGTCAAAAAGTCTGTAGGTCAAGTCAAAAAGTCTGTAGGTCAAGTCTCCATTGACCTACAGTGCATTGAAAACCGATTAATCCCGTAACAGGCCATTTTTGTTCCATTTTGGTTTTTTTCTGGTCTGTAAGTCAATTCTCAGGCTGCAAGTCAAACCTAAATTTTGGGGCCAGAGAAGTCTGTAACTGTAGACACTTGGGGCAATTGGCAGGGTATATGTCTGTGCAGCAGCACCTCCATGGGTATCGCACAGTATCTTGTCTTGAATAACTGTGTTTTCCTTTTCTAGCTTACGTGCAGCAGCACCTCCATGGGTATCTGTAAGTCAAGGGTCCACTGTAACTGTGTTTTCCTTTTCTAGCTTATGTTACGGGTCCCCTAACAATCATATCACTGCAGCCTGGAGAATAATAAAATTGCTGCCCACTACCGGACATAATGTGGACTCCTAGTGTGGTATAGTGGATAGAATGATGGATTAGGAGTTTGGAGAACAGGGTTCAAATCCCTACTTGGCTATGGAAACTCACTGGGGGAGTGGAACTGGTAAAAACACCCCTTAAATGTCGTACATACTTATGTTGAAGGCCCTATCAGGGTTGCTATAAGTCAGTTCTGATGTGACAGCACAGAACAGACAGCCACTAGGCACAAAGGACAAAAAGACCGGTAGAGAAGTGGGCGGGCGCAGCCTTCATCTTCCATTGAATGGGTGCATTTCAAGGGAGTTGCTTATCTCCTTGGGCAGCTGTCTGGTGTCTTGATGCATGGAAGAGATGTTCTCGATTTCCCCTTTGAGCAGTTAAACTTCAGTACTTAACTATACAGCTAACAGTTTTTCACATGTAGCTTTGGAAGAGGCCACCATGTTAGCCTGAGCAAGCAGATCAGGCAAAATCCAAAGAAACAGAGCAAAACAAGGACAAAAATATGTGGCACCTTAAAGACCATTATATTTTAATGTAAGCTTTCATGGACCCATCCACTTTGTCAGACCTTAAGAGACAAAATGAAATGGAATGAAATGTAGATGAAATATCACTTTCACGTTCTAAATCAGCTTAAGTGGATTGAATATAACCCTAGGTTTCCTAAGTCATTATCAAATGTAACACTTCTGTTGCTACCTACTGACACTGACTGTTATTTTCTTCACAGCTATCATCTCTCATCACAAGGCAAAAAGTGTCTATATTCTGTACATTGACACATGTGATTCCTCTGCTAACTTCTTTCATTCTTTCTTTCCCCTCTTGAGGTTTAACTGCCTCTTCAACCCCCGCACATACCCTTCTCTCTCTCGTTTCTCTTCCCCCACTCTACCTGGGGGCTGTTTTCTGTCTTCTAGAAGATCTTTTACATCAGGACCCTAAAACTTTAACACATAGGCCTAATTACTGCATGTAACCAATGAACCTTTAGAAAGTGAAACTGGTATTTCACCTACATTTCATTCCTTTTCCTTCTGTTTCTTCCTGTCTGACTAAGTGGACGGGTCCACGAAAGCTTACACTAAAATATAGTACTGTAGTTCATCTTTCAGGTACCACATTTTTTTTGTCTTTGTTTTGTTTTGCTTTGTTTCTTTGGATTTTGCCGGATACACTTCTTTACATGAGATCAGAGGACCAATATCAGTCAACAGTGGTGTAACAGAAAAAGTCACCACACCAGACTTGCCTGAGCCGGTGCCCTTCATGTGTCAGATCAGAATGTCCATCTTTCCTGATCATGCTAGTGCAGGCTGAAGGGAGTTGTTGGGCAAACACTTGCGGAGGGAGAGTCAGACTGGAGAAGGCTGAGCTGCATGATGAGAAACAACTGGTTGCACTGATCAGCTCTGAGTCTCTGCAGAGGCCCTCCGAAAGCCTACAAAATGTATTAAACCCCCCACATAATCCTTGATTTAGTTCAACAATATTTAATATCACTCAGCGATGTCCCACATCTGCAGGCCAGCGAAGTTCACCAAGTGTTCCCTTGCCCAGCTGTGGTTTCAGGCTGCACTTTGTGCACAAAGCATTGGCACTGTGGCAAAACACAATTAGTTTTTACAAGCTTTTATCATATGGGCCAGATACATGCAAGCAAGAAACGCTTCTCTGAGTTTTAAAGTAAGCACTTTAGACTTTCAATTAATTTTGCTCAATTCTTGGAAAATACACATTTTGATTTATCTATAAATGGGGATGTTATTATTGCAATAGCTTTTGTTACTGATCCATTATTTTGGGGCTGGGGGGGTGAGGAGAAGTCTCTGGTTATCTTTTAGTAGAAAAGGCACACAATCCCCAGCCTCCTTTCCATGTTATTACGAGGTGAATTCAGAAACTGTAAATAGCTTTGGTGTCTTTTTTTTCCTTTTGATTATTCATGGAAATAAGAAAGGAGGGCGGAGAGCACGAACTTAAGTGGAAGCAGATTATTTAAGTGAATAAATATGGTATGTGTCAAGCCATGGAATACATTTTGTACATAATGTCAGTTATAGGAGTCTCGGAACTGAACTGGCATAGGGAAAAAACTGATCTCTCTGCCATCTCCTTCAAAAGCCATTAAATTAGCAGTAAAATAATAGCTGTGCTTTATGGAAAGTTTCACCTGGGATTCCGAAAGAAAGGAAGATCTGGTGAATGTGCTCTCTGGGAACCAGTTTGGCTTCAAAAGCTAAGATGAACGAAATGAAGACAAAAACATAGAAACCTGCCTTAGAACAAGTCAGCTCACGGTCCCATCTCCTCAAATAGGACAATGAGTAGCGTGCATAAGAGGAATCTTTTAAATAGGCTACCAGGCCTGCCTGCATTGTTTAATACTTAAAATACATAAAACATAATGTGGTCTCGGATGCAAATTCTCTGCATGATGAGCTCAGTTGCTACAGTCCATCTTTAGGAAAAATGGATATTCCACTAGGCACCTTAATTCGGTGCTGGATTATAACAACAGAAAAGTGAGACAAAGGGAGGAGGAGGATGAAGAAATAAAAGGAGTGGGCATTCTTCCTTTCTGCAGACAAATTTCAGCAAAGATAGGAAGACTGGCTCGTAGGCTTTATTTCGAATTTGTTTTCCCATCCTTTTAACGAAATCAAACAAATTTGGTCCATCCAGCTAAAGACCCAGGCTTTATTTCGAATTTGTTTTCCCATCCTATTAACGAAATCAAACAAATGGTCCATCCAGCTAAAGACCCTCAGGGACTCAGAGTCCCAGGCATTTATCAAGTACCGTGTTGCTGTGGTCAAGCTTACATCAGCCAGACTGGAAGATATGTTACGGGGAGAACATCAGAACATTCACAATATATTAGATCACAACAGCTTGAAAAATCTGGACTGGCCGAACATTGTATCATGGATGGCCATCAGCCCCAATGGAATGGGGTGCAAGCACTGGCCAAAACCCAATCAATTCTGGGGTAGGATCATTATTGAGGCTCTCTTGATAAAACTTCAGCCACATTCCATCAACAGAGAAAGTGGTGTTACTTTTAGTGATTGCTGGACGTCTCTGTTTTGTAAACTGGATAGACTTGGCAGGTTGCCCTTATATAATGCTGGCTGGTGTGGGGGGACAGCCTCTTTAATGTTAATCTGCCTGAGTTTGGTCTGAATGTTTACCCAGCTGGTTTTGATTGTACCTTGTTGTATTTAAGGTTAGCTTTGGTTCGGTTGATACCTTGCTTTCCTTGATGAAGATGGCGCAGGGTATTGCTATTGAAAGCTTGGACCTTTTTTTTTTAACAATAAACATGTATTGAAACGACTGGAAACCCATAAGCTGTTTACACAAAGCGTTTGTTGTGAAAGATTGAAATCTCTAATTACTTAAAATACTGTTTTTCAAAACCGGATGTGAATTTCTCCTACTGTCAGTTCAAGCCACCACCACATTCTGGCACACCTCCCTGGCCCTAAGGGAGCTTGGAAATGAGGCAATTTTCCCTTCAACTTGCCAAAGTTATTTATCTTGCCAAAGTTATTTACTGGCAGCCCTGACTGGCAACGGCTCTCTAGATTTCAGGCAGGCGTCACTTTTCAGCCTTACATGGAGACTGGAGGGGAGGGGAAGAGAGAGCAGTGGAACATGAGCATTTCTGGATGTCCTACCAGATCTAAGAGTTCCTCCCTTCCCCTGGTGACAGATCATCTAGGCTTCTGTTCCAGAGGATCTGGTTACCTCATTTCCTACAAACGAAAGTGAAGTCAGCAGAATTCTCTGGGACAACTATTCTCAACTGAGGGGGCATATAACCCCCTGAGGGCCCTGGCACATTTGAAGGGGGCCACAGACTGGAAACAATTCTTCACACACCACCTTACAAGGTTTGTTATGCAACTTACATATCGCTGCTTTGACTTATATTTCTTCCATATTGTATTTATGGCCGTGGCGAAAAAAAAGGTTGAGAATGATGGGCTGATAATGAAAGGGAAGGCTCAGTTTTCCACACCTCCTATTCCACTGCTATTAATGGGGGGGTGTTCTTCCTGTGTCATGGGGCAGCAGGTTCTAAAATAAGCAATTGACCCAAGGTTAGGCATGGCAGATACATTTTTTTTGGTTAATCTTTCAATTTTATTTGCTATTATAAAACTATTGGGGGTCAGAAACCTTTGTTGATCTTCTGCAGGCCATACAGATAGACATCTTCTTTCTGCCTGCCCTGTCACACTGGAGAGGAAAGGGAGGAAATTAGGAAGAACAAACTCTAAAGGCAGACCATGTTGGCGAAAAAGGAGGAAAGAATGTAAAGAAAAACAGTTTGGAAACCAAATAGAGGTAACGGATAGAGGAGGAAAGGAAATGTTTAAAAAAATAAGCAAAAAACGTAAATCAATGTAGAAATAAGGAATTCTTGCACATAAGAATATGACAATTCAGCTTTGGCTTTAGGAGGACATTACTCTCTACTGGTGATGATGCCAAATCTAGAAGAAATAACCTTTTCCATCACTTCATTTAATCTGAAGAATGTTTTCCGTATTATTGAATTAAAAGCCATGAGCTGTGTGGCCATTGCAAAATACAAATGGAAGAATAGACAATACCTTAATAGGCCACTAATAAAAACTAAACAAAATCACACACTATGACAACTTTTGTGGATAGATCCCACTTCTTCAAAGCAAGTACCAAAAATCCAAATGTTTGTAGCTAGATGGGATTTGCTAGGAGGTGAGTCTTAGATGTAAAATTCTTGACAAGACGAATTTTGCCAGGCACTTCTGCCTTAGATGAGGCAGGAAGCTGTTCTAAAGTTACAGGTTGGATTTCCCACTCCAGTTCTCCAAAGGGGCACAGGCTAGGCGTAATTTAGTGAACATACTAAGTATAGCCAACTGGAGTCAGATTGAAGTCCAAATAATATTACCTAGTGGTTTTCCTGCTGTTGAGTCTTGGAAATGCAAGAATAGGCGATACCTGGCAAATCCCATCTTGACACGAACATTTGGACTTTGGGCACTTGTTTTGAAGAATTGGGATTTACCCACGAATGCAAGAATAGACAATACCTTTATAGATCACTAATAAAAAATAAAAAATCATACACGATGAGGGTTTTCGTGGGCGAATCCCAATTCTTCAAAACAAGTGCCCAAAGTCCAAATGTTCGTGTCAAGATGGGATTTGCCAGGTATCGCCTATTCTTGCATTTCCATATTACTGATATAATGTACAGAGGTAAATGAGCAACAGTCTTCATTCTCCCTTTCAGGGTTATGCTGCCCTAGAAACAATATGGTTCACAGTATTGTAGAGATTAAGAAGTGTTATCTTTCCAGTATCGTTTACTGCTGTGAACAACTGTTAAGCCAGCAGGTATATACACAATTCCCTAGGAAGAAGTCCCATTGAACTCAATTGGCTTTACTCTTGAGCAGACATCATAGAATCAGTTTGTAAATGATGGACTGTGAAGTAAACACAGTGTTTTCAGTTATAATGTCATGAGTGTACAACGCTTTTAAAGAAATTCCACATTCCAGTATACAGTGGGTGCCTTTTGAGAGAACTATCTTTTATTCGTCCCTTTGCAAAATATTTCTATGTTCTGTGATAGCACCACCTAGTGGAACTACTGTGATCCTATGAACTGCAACGGGGAAACATTTCCCCAGAACAACACTGGATCAATGCAATAATATTGTGTGTGCTTTGTTGTTGCAAGCAATTCTATACTTTTCATGTATGAGCCCTCTTTCTAATTCCCATCTGCCATGTCTCTGATGAGGAAACAGAAGAAGTTGTCTTTCACCAGCTGAAACCATTACCAACTTAAAACATTAGGCCACCAAGCACAATGTTGTCTAAATCTGCAGGATCCGAGACAAAATGCTTTCTCGGTGTTACCTTGACGCGCCAAGGACTGCATCTGGGACAGCCTGGCTGGACCAATGTGTCAGATCTCTTTCAAATTGACATCCGCACGCAGACATGGTAAATCTGTGAAACCCTGGCCTGGTCTGGGCAGGGCAGGATGTAACAAGAAACACATGCTTTTTAAAAACCTGAATTCTTCACAGCTGCAGCAAAAGAAAATAGGGCGTACAAGTATTGTTGTTGTTGTTTAGTCATTAAGTCGTATCCGACTCTTCATGACCCCATGGACCAGAGCACGCCAGGCCTCCTGTCTTCCATTGCCTTCCCAAGAGTTGTGTCAAATTCATGTTGGTTGCTCTCCTATGTTTCATGGCAGGCAACTCTGGAGAAGAATGTTCTGTGCAGCCATTCCCAGTTGGATCCAGACTTAGTGGCTGCCTGCTTGTACAACATCATGTGTTGCGCTGTCTACAGTATTGTTCTTGCACTTAATGGGGCCCTTGGGCTCATCATACCATTTGGAACAAGGCAGACAATGGAGCAGTAAGGTAGTGATGCATAAACCACCTGGCTGCACAGTCCTTCGAAACAGCAGCCACACAAGGTCTGGGAAACTTCCCTATCTGCCATTTATACATAAGGTAAAATCACACAAGATGAAAGCCTTAGTGGGAATGTTGCAGCGGAGGGGGGGGGATCTGCCACCTGGCCAGCCACCAAAATAGTGTTCTTCCCTGCTGGCTCTGGGTTGCCATATTATCGGGTTATTCGGGTTTTATCTACATTCTGCGCATATTTAGCGGGATGCCTCTTCTGCCCATTTCTGCAACCAGCAGACCCAGAAGCAGTTCTGGCCCCTCTTCCAACCCTTGCTGTCTTGCCTTTGGGACATCACAGGGATTCAGTGCTCTTGAATCACAGGAGTTTGCCCCAGGCCTCAGTTATGGCCCTCAACCTATCTCAGGGAGTAGGATACTGCAGGGCGGCCAACCCAAGACGGCCAGGCACCCAACACAGTTGCCTTTCTTGCCATTTGCAGTGGCCAGGCAAAAGACGACAAGGCTTTGGGGGGGAAATAGAACAAAGCTGTGCTGGAACCCCCTGCTAATACCGTTAAGTGAAATTTCCCTTCAAGGTCTCAGTCCACAAATATGTGGAGAATTTCGAAAGGCCATTTGTGCAGGAGTGACCTGAATTGATTTTCAAGCAATTGTAATATTTCCTAATTACTCCTAGAAAAAACATTAGGTCCCTTACTGGGGGTGGGGGGGGGGGCTGGTTTGCAGACATGGCAAGAGGAAGGGAGCTGCAACACAGAGATGATCCCAGGGACCTGTGGAGCTAGAATGGGCTCATAATCCATCCCTCCAGCCACCCAACCACAGTCGTCCTGGGATGGAAGACAAGGAGAACAGTATCTGGCAGCAGACTTGAGAAGGTTGTCCAACCCTTCTCATAGCATACCACAAACATTATTTTTCTTTCAGGCCCCAGATATTGACAGGGTCCTTTTGCATTCAGCAGTGAGCCGGTTATGTGGCACATAGAATCATGCCTGCCTGGTCCACAGCATCAATTCTAGGATAATACAATAAATCAATTTCTCAAATGATCATTTTGATGAGACTTCTGTTAAAACATCTCAACCTCTTTGACAGCTTTGAAATTTAAAAAAAAACACAGAAGCTCCAGGGAAGGAATGGGAAAATGTTTCCTCTTCAGGTATTATAGACTATAGCTCCCATAATCCCTTACAGCTAGCCATTCTGGCTATATCTGCTGGGACTTGAAGTCCAAAACATCTAGAGGGCCAAAGGTTCTACATGTATGATCTAGTGCAGTGGTTCCCAACCGTGGGCTCCCTGGTGTTTTTGAACTACAACGCCCAGAAATCTTGGACAGCACAGCTGGTGAAAGCTTCTGGGAGTTTTAGTCCAGTAACATCTGGGAACCCACATTTGGGAACCACTGATCTAGACAATAATAGATCCGACAGTCACTAAAATGCCATAGAAGCCAACACCAGGTTGAAAGACCAATCCATTTACTTATGAATCCTGCCCTATTCCTGGATCATGTAGGCTCAGTTTACACATGCAGTAGAACAAGATGGTAGAACAGGCTGTACTGCTTCACGTTGAATTCTCCCTCATATTTAAAAAAAGCAAACCCATTAAAAGAAATCTAGAATAATTCTGAGCCATCCCTTTTCCCCATCTATGTTTATTTTCTATTTGCAGAGAATTCCTGGGTAGGGAAACATTAAAAATGCTGTCTGCCATCTACAGCCTGAAATTCATATTACTGCTTCAGCATTGTTTACTATGTAATTCACCTCAATTCTGTGTAGACTAGGCCTCAGGGCCTGCAGTCCAAATCACAGAGCACTGGAAAGTCCTGGATAAATTTTTCTTTCTATCCCCAAATAGGATAACCAGTCTGTTCCCCAAATATCACAATGCATCCCAAAGAATGTAATCATCATGGTCACTATCCTGTCTTTTTGATGGGCTGGTCTTGAAACTCTGGCCTAGAGGAACTGAGGCAGGGAGAACACAACTCCATATATTTAGTTTTAAAAAATATTTCTGGCCTGACCACAACTCAGAAATGAGACACAATAGATAAACATTTCACCAGGTTTATAAGAAATGGTGAAGCCTCACATTTTGTCTCTCTCCTTTCCTCTCTTCCTTGGGCTTCAATGGAGAAAATTAGTTCAAATTATATCAGGGTTCCCCCTTATGTCCAAACTACAAATGAGCACGAATTTAAAAAAAGAATCACCAAATTCATTCAAAGATTGCTAATTCATTGATTTGTATTCCTACAAATCAATGTCCCCAACGAATATGAATTTTTAGCAATTTTTTATTTGTTGATTTGGTTTCCCCAAGCCAGCTGCTAAAAGGCACTTTCCTGGGGGGCCCACTTTGTGGGTGTATAACCTGGATGTGATCTGTCAACCTTGATCAATCAGGAATCAAAAATGAATTCCCATTTTTCTGATTCGTGCCCATCTCTAGTCCAGACCAGAGAAACCAAGGTGGTATGTCACAACCACATCTTTTGTTAACTGATCTTTTAAACCAGAGTTCCCCAATTCAGATACAACATAGAATTCTAGGATAATACAAGAAAGATTTTTAAATGGAAGCTGGAAAAAAAGATGAGAAGAAGGGATGGTTTGGGCAAGCACGTTCCTATGAAGCCATGGATCACAGTCTGAAAGCTGCTAGTGTGGCATCATTCAAGGATCTCTCAGTGACTTGTAGTCAAACATGTGAACCACCTCCATTAAACATGACTGTATTTGAAGCAATGTACTGTACAAATTTTGTCCATGGCATTCAGCAGCAATGGCTGGTTCACACCTGAAAATCAGCACTTCATGTTTCAATAATCAGCGACATCTCAAGATATTTTGCTTCCTGAAACAAAGGATAAGAAGACACTCTCCTTTGGCCTGTGTATGGAGGCAGGCTGAGCCTACTCTAATTATAAGAGAGTAAGTCAAAACTAAAGTAGGCCCATTTGAATCAATGGAACGTACAGAAGAATTGACTCACCAAATCCCCACTGATTCAATAGGCCTACCCAGTGCAACTTCTATGCTACTTGCTGCTTTCAACCAATGTGTGAAAGACTTTCCATAATCATAACACTGAAACTGCCCAGCTCACATACCAGCGCCAGCGTCAATGAACACTAATCTTAGTTAAAAGTAATTTTTAGTGTCTTTGCAAAATGGATTTAATGATACTTCTCTAATTTCCTCACAGAGACATTCATGTATAACTAATGAATAGCCAAAAGTCCATAGACTAGAGCAGCACATTTTCTTGCTTCAATAACTATCTCATTCAGTATCCCCTTCCCAAAAATATCCCCCACAGTCAACCGCTGGTATGTTTTGTCTCCCGTAACAGACTCCACTACAAATCATCAAAAATGTAAATTCATGAAGTAGAATAATCCCTGACAGTGAAATTTGTGTGAGAAACGTGTTGTTCTATGCCGTCAAATTGCTTCTCATATACAGCAACCCTAACAGAGATTTTGAGGTATGTGAGATGTTCAAGAAGCAGTCTACCATTGACACACACACACACACACACACACACACACACCAGTGAATTTTTATGGCTGTGCAAGGATTTGAACCCAGGATTCCTGAGTCATCATCTGACACAATGGTTGAAATCCTTTTGCTTAGGATAGTAAGTTGCTTTCCAGCAGTCCTGGTAAATCAGTGAGGATTTGGTGACTCAACTCCTTTGTAAATTCCATTCATTCAAAAGGGCCTACTCCAGTTGTAAGTTACTATGGTATTTGAATCAATGAAACTTGCAGAAGAGGTGACTCATCAACCCCCCTTAATTCAGTGGGTCTACTCTAAGGTAACTTACTACACTAAGCAACAGGATTTCAGCCTCTGTCTGCTACAGCCGGCTCTAACAGCAAGGATGGAGAATTGAGTCGTGGGACTCGCTTTTAAGTTGGACTTAAGTCATACTGGCAACTTCATTCAGACTCAACTTCAATTTTTAGCCCAATGACTAAGACTCGATGTGACTCAGAACCCTCCCTTTTTTCTGCGAGAAAAAAAGCTTGTTTTTAATAGGGACTCTGACTTGGGGCTTGGGACTCAGACCCAAAGACTTGCCCGCTTCCCTGTCTGATAGTGAAACAAAACCTCCCAATTTATGTAGATATGCGTCTGAGAAATTAACAGCCTAGCAACCTGGAACTGCAGCTATGAAATATCTGTCACATTCTTCATGAGCCACCATTTTGAAGATCCTCTTAGATCTGAACATTTTGGCTGGTCCAGAATGTAGGGACACCGTTTTTGTGAGATTCTTTCCTCAGGGAGCAGCTGATGTTGACCCTTCAGGAGCTTCACTGCCTGCCAGGGTGTTCTGAGGCTAGATCCAAGCTACGTCTAGCTTAAGAGCAATCTCTCGTTTGTTTGTTTGTTTGTTTAAAATATGTTTATCCCGCCTTTCTCCTTAAAAAGAACCCAAGGCTGTTCTTTTCATTCCATTTGACTCTGGGAGAGAAGTTTGAGACCGCCTTTCTCCTTAAAAAGAACCCAAGGCCGTTTTTTTCACTCCATTTGACTCTGATGAGATCACTGGGAGAGAAGTTTGAGGTGCTACTGCTATCTAAGTTAAATTGTCTGTTCAGTAGAAATAGGATTTTTCTCTCCAATTGATTTACTACAGTTACTACATACTGTTTTGTCTTTTTCCAGAGGCTGGACATCATCATGTCTATGCTGAGTTTCAACGTGGCAACCCTAAACAATGCTGTTGGGTTGCATCCAAACAAGTATCCAATATTTTTTTTTCCTTCCAGCATTTCTTTTTCCGTTTATTTTACACTGAATGATCTGCTGCCACAGTCTATATATTTTATTTTTTATTATTGGACGAAAAGGATTCCCATTTTCCGCACTGTACGTGTTTTATGATATCATACATTTGCTTCAGTAAATCTTCACGGGCCACCCTCTTGATCCAAGAAATTCTTAGCATCTCAAAATAAATCCACATTCAAAATACATTTTATATTAGCCTGTTTTAAAGGCCACAATTTCATGCCCTTCAGTAGAACCGAGTTATTGGCGGAAATCCTGTAGTCAGCGTTCATGTGTAAATCATAGCTAGAGGAGGCCCACTGAATCAGTGGGGATTTGGTGAGTCAGCTTCTCTGTAAGTTCTATTGATTCAGTGGGCCTACTCTAGTTGCAACTTACTGTGCTGACTAAAGGATTTCAGCCATTAACTCATGCACAGAAGTTTCAAGAGCTGAAAGTGTTTCGTATTCATTATCTAGCTGCAGTTTTTACAACGATTCTAGAAGTAGATATTTCTATTTCCCCCTTATTGCAGATAGAGGGGGTAGGGCTGGGGCTGGCAGAAGAGCCTCTTCAAAGACTAGCCAGCAATCTTCCTTACAATGACCCCATTCTTCCTTTCACAACAGAGGTGACCTCAGAGATAATTCACCAATCTGACTTGCATATTAACTCTGTGCTTACCCCAAAATGCCCAGTTACAAAATGAACCACAATAAGTACAGGATATGAAGGCGAGGAACAGCCCAACAAATGTCTTTCTGCACTCCTTCTGGCTCTTGCATTGGCAGAGGGCAGGATTAGATAACCTTTGGGATCTTTTCTAACTATACAATTTAATTATTATGTGCCCCTCAGCTGATGGGACTCTGTCTTAGGGAGAGGCTCACAAGACAGAGAAGAGGACTTGGTTAAAGAGATGTAGCCATTTTATTTGGCTTTGGCTGCTATTTTTAATAGTTATCTTGGTTTGCTGATTTTAAAGCAGCACACAAAAAAGTTCAGATCACCTGTTAATGGAAATGCCATTTTGCTTCAACTTTTCCCTCCAAATATACAAATCTTCCAAAGCTATGTGCCTGAGAAATCAAGCATGCAAACAGAGCAGCGCTTATCTTGCCATCGCCAATGACAATGAAAATGCAAGCTAATTTTCCAAATGCTGATTAATGCAGTTATACTGTTACAACAAACACACAGTTGTTTACCCCTTAAGAGAGCTTTGCTTAACTGTGCCATGCAGTTTGTCCCAAATTAATTAGTCAGGCAGTTGCCACCATTCCTGGCTTGAGTGAGTGCATGCAGCATTACCTGAGTCTGAACCCATGCTTGTTTCGAGCATCATCATCTGTATCATATTTTATAACCACATTCAGTGCAGCCAGTTAACAATGAGCAATATGATTTTCCCAGCACTACAGCCACCCTATTTCTTTCCTCCCACCCCTCTTTTCTAAGGTGAGACTTTATCTTTGTTCTGCTGTTCTAAAAGACATAGGGGTTTTTTTTATCACTGCAAGCCCTGTTTTGATATTTCCTGAGTTAAATTCTGCAATTCCAGTTTAAATGTTGTCATCTTAAGTGTAGGCCTAATAAGCGGTAGAGAGGACACCCGAAACAGGCAAGAGTAAATAGTGTCCTCCCCATAATTGTTCCAGTTGACAAATATACTGTAGGTACTGTAAAAGTAAAGCATACATCTGGTAATTAATTGGAACATAATATGTATTTTAAAAAAAAACCCACCAACCAAGCAACTTTCTAAATTCAGAGGACGAACTTATATAACTGACACTACAGGGTTTAGAATAATGCTTTGCATATGAAGAGTACCTGTTTTGGTTAAAGGGCTTGAGAAAAGTTGCTGCAGAAGTCTGTTCTCTGATGTCCTCAGTACTACCACGATATCAGCAGGAAGTGTGTCTCTGTTTTTCTCTAGGAAACCATTGGCATCATAGAGAACCTACACAATGGAGGAGGTAATGGCGAAAGTACCCATCAAGAAAAAAAAATCAAGAATTACATCAACAAACCTTGAGAGCTACCCATGTTTGTAGAACACAATGGATGAAGAGGCACCAGACATTCCTTGTCCACCCCACAATACTCCATCTGTTAGCAGGGACTAAGATATGTGAACACTCGCTAGTGTCCTGCTTGCTCACTGCTGGAGTGCTATGCTCCCTGCATTCTCTGCACAAACTTTGTTTCAGAGTTGGAGAGGGCCAAAGGCACCCTAGAATGAGAATGGGACTTCCAGTTGCATCAGAAGATATGAGATACCTCCTTGCACCAACTCTGTGATAGCCCAGCTGCTTGTGCAACAGAGCACTGCAAGCAGAAGGACACAACAGGACACTGATATTGTGGGTCTTAAAATAAGGCATCTAGATTTCAAAATACAAGCACATTTCAAACACAGAATCAAGCAAGAAATCTGAAAGCTGCTTAAGAGAGATGTTAGGTGCTAGATCCCTCTCTACAGTTCGATTTAATACAATTATCCACAGCCTTTACCTTTCCAGCATAGTGCTGAATGCCAAAACACAGCTCAACTCCTTTGGGTCTCCAGAAATACTTGCATCGTAAATTATCTTCAAATTTATCTAATCATTTCAAAAGAGAAAACATCGTTAATGGGCCATTCCCCCAGCCAGAGATCATCCTTTCCCATTATGTCTGCCTCCTGATTAGATTATCAGAATTGATAGTGTTGTTTCCCCCACAGTAAGGTGGCTGACTACATTAGTTCTTTGATATCTCTTACAACTCTGTTGTTCTTTCTTTCCATTTGCTTAAAAAGGGAATTAGCCCAGGAGAGGTCTAGTTAAATCACTTTCCCCTTGCATTTCTCTCAGCCTTCTGCCACTCGCTTTGTGGCTTTTTAGTTTGCTTTTTTTTTTAATTCTTCAGCTACTCAAGGGAAACTGCAGGAGGAGGGCTGGCCGGGAGTTCTGCTAGTTATCTTTCCAAAGACTATTGGTGTAAAGACTGCCTGGTATCCCTCTGTTTTCAATCAGCCAAGGACAAAGGACTCGGCGTGCCCAGATGGAATGGGGGAAGCTTTGGATTTCCTGTGGAAGACAGAGAGGGTGACCACATTGGCCTTCAGTCTGCTTTTTGAGCCACTGCAGAGATGAATCGGTTCGCTCCTAAGGACAGTGAGCAGATGACATTTTTGCTGGAACAAACCAGCCCACCACCAGGATCATCCTACCTGCACCTTCCTAGACCCTGGAAGGGGTTTCAGTTTTATTTATTTTTTCGGTGCAGGTAAGATGGTGTGTGTGTGTGTGCGTGCATGCGTGTGCGCGCACGCACACACATACAGGTAAAAACCTAATGCAAATCTAAAGTGTTTAGCTGTCTTTTTTGGTGATATGTTTCCACCTTTTGGACCATGTGTGAAGTGGCCAGTCTGCCAACAGCCATACTGGGGTGACCAAAGACCTGTCTAGACCTTCCTCATGGAAGGAAAAAAAAACATTGATCTGTGTGAATGGAAGGATGGCTCAAGTGAGAAATAAAATAGATCACCCTAAAGATAAGAACCTTTTTACAGCAGACTAGACTGCTCTAACTTCCCATCTGACCCTGCCCTTGGCAACTATTCTATCAGAAACTTGGGCGAAAATGGCCACTGGTCTCTGTCCGCCTAGATAGACCTTCGGAGTAACAAATATTTCCAAAGGGCATGCAGGAAGAGAGCAAAAGCATTTCTCTAAAGCCTCCTTTAGACACAGAATCGCACTGTAGGTTTCTTGGTTCACACTTCAGTCTCATGACCAAGCACCTGCAAAATGACCTCAAGACCAGTAGCAGGAGGAGAGAATAAAATACGTTCAAATTTGCAATTATGATATTTCTGACTCTGAGATAAACCTTTAGTATTTCATTATTATATGAATGTCACGAATTTTGCCCCTCCCCAATTTTTTGCAACATTACAGTACTAATTTTCCCCCCGCTTTCTGTTGGACAATGCATTAAATGACACATGTTAAAATAAAGCAAAATATCTCGGCTTGGTCAATATGTAAAATAGTATCACACTGGGGGTTTTTTGTTTGTTCGTTTGTTAGTTAGTTATCACCACTGGAACAGGAAGTCTGTGTAAGCAGAAAATTGAAATAGTGGTTCCAATATTAGCAGATGCCTAGAGTGAACTGGACAAATGCCCATTGTTTGACCAGCTGGCACAACATGGGTAATAACAAACAATTTCTGTTTTGTCAGTAGAGAGCCAGCCGAGGCTTTGGAGCAAATGAATAGCCAAAAAAAATATTTCTATTTCTCTCAAGATTCCATTCATATAACCAATTTGAATCAGAGGAGTCGCCTCAAGGTGACCTACCTTTTTCCATTTTGAGGTGGTTACAAAATTACTTCAATGCCTTTAATTCAACACACACACACGCCACACGCCATCACCACCAACAACAACTAATCAAGCCCTGGAAAATCCTAGCTGTCTAGTACTCTCCTGGATGTGGTAAAAACAGCAATTCCACCCCAAAGAACACCAGTTGAAAAGGTCTCTTCAGCCTCAATAATGGCTACGTGAATGGCCTACTGCTCCTTTCCCATGGAACAAGCCAGTAAGAGAGAGCAGTTTGAATCCAAGGGGGGGTGTTGTTGTACAAACACCACAGGGGTGGTAAGTAGAGGGCTCCACCACCACCACTGTGGAAGTGCATTTGCACTTCCTCAGTTTACCAAGATTCGTCCCGCTGCAGCCTTCTAAGCCCATCTGTTATTTTGTTCCAGACTGCCCCTCTCCCTCCTCAAGTTCAAACTGGGGCAGCGGGAAACACAATGGGCTGCAGAGGCAGGAAAGGTCCATCCATGTACAGCCCTCTGTTCCATTCAGAGAACAGAAACCAGGCTCTAACAGTACAAACAGTACCTTCAACACAGTAAGATGACCTAATCCTATTCATGGTGTCCCTAGTAAGTTGGAGCGGGCAACTTTGATAGTTTAGGAGCCACACTTGCCTCTCCTTGGAAGTCCGAAGGCTCTGTCCCCAACCCTACCCTCCATTTTTGAATACAGTGGTGCCTCACAAGACAAATGCCTTGCCAGACAAAAAACTTGCAAGATGAAAGCGTTTTGTGATTGTTGTGGTGACTTGCAAGACAGCTTTTTCTATGGCCGTGCTTCGCAAGACGATTTTTTCCCGCAAGAGCAATGCCTCGCAAGATGAAAATAATTCATTTGTCTTGCAAGGTTTCCCATAGGAATGCATTGCAATGCATTCCTATGGGAAACCGTGCTTTCGCAAGACGAAAATTTCGCAATACAACGCTAGTCGCGGAACGAATTGCTTTCATCTTGCGAGGCACCACTGTATTCTCTTTAAAAGCCCCTTGGAGCTTTAGAGAATATGAAGGGCAGTTTTTGTCATATTTCTCTTCACACAATCTTCACGCACTGTTTTAAATGTGGGAGGAGACCTTTTTCCAAAACCAGAAGTGATTGGAAGTCACCTGTCGTTGTGAAAAATGCCCCCCCCAACTAAAACAGATACTTAGTATTCTGTAGTGGATAGAGTGACAAACAAGGACTCAGGAGGCCTGGGTTCGAATCCCCACTCAGCCATAGAAACTCACTGTGGGTGTGAAACTAGTAAAAAACACTCCTTAAATGTCTTACTTACCTTGAAAGCTCTATTATGGTCGCTATAGATCGCTTTTGACTTGATGGCATATCACAAAACTAAAACAGGCCAGGGATGCTTCATCTATTTCCCCGTAAGGCCTAAAGGCCTCAAGACACTTCTTAAGAGAAAGCTTTCAAAATGGAGTGTAAGGGATCAGGGACCCTGGCCTTCACATGCAACTTGCAGGCCACAGTTTGCCTCTCTTCATAGTAGAAAACAGCCCATCAGTTAATGATAACTCAAAATGAAGGGTGGGCAATGTGGAGAAAATTCCTCCTGACAAAGCTTATTAAGAGGACATTGGGTTGCTTCCTAGCTCAGTTCATGAACTACCTACGCCCAGGAGGTTGATCAAATGGCAAGAGACTGAGCGCATAGTCTTGCATTACAACAGTGTAAAGGTACTAATGGATCTCCTGCTTTTTTCTGCTAACGGTATATGCAATGACAATTTGGGGCTCCTAGACTGGACGTACCAACTAAAGTAAGGTCTGTTGCCTGGGGGAATCGGCTTTCTTCATCCAGTAGAGAAAGGAGACCCATCGGTTTCTGGAGGAACGTGTCCAGGAGTGGCCTGTTGTCTTCATAGTTAACCACAGGGGCATCAATGCCTTCATTCTGGTACTCCATCTAAAACATTAGGAAAGTCAACCATAGCCGCCTAGAGTGGTCGAAATGACTAGATAGGCGGGGTATAAATACAATAAATAAATAAATAAATAAATAAATATAAATAAATCTAAATTTTACCATGAGGGCATTCAGCCTCAGCAATCTGTTCTTTCCTTCCATGATATACTTGAACACATCATATCAGAGTGAAGCACATCACGGTGAGGCATATATTTTTTTCCAAAAGATTTTTGAGGGAAATTTCACTCCTTTTATTTACTTCCCCTAGCTTCTTTGGGGGAGGGGGGGTTGTGAAACGAGAGATAACACATTTTTGTGGTGATTTTGTGTAGGCTTGTTGGCCCTGTCATGAGGAAGAGTGAAGCAGTTGCCTCACGCAGCAGGTACCATAGGTGTTTTAAATAAAATAAATACATGTTACAACCTGGGAATAGGGACCCAGGTGTCACTGGCAAGACATGGCTGTGTGTCCACAAGACCTGCTCATACCCACTCAAGCAGCTCCTTAAAGATCTTCCCTCAGACAAAGGGCAGTATCCAAATGGTCATATTGAATTAATATTCAGCTGCCAGTCCGGTTACATACCTTCCATACATGGGGGAGGGGAGAGGACATTGTACATGTTCCACTCAATACAAGGAAGGTACAAGGCATTGCTACAGCAGCAAAATATTGTCACAGCTCACCATAAATAGGAGTATGCTGTTTCCATCAGCGCTATGTGAAATATGTTACAAGGGTACCAAATCAGAATTGTCTAACATATGTAAAAGCTGCCATCATCATCATCTTAGAACTGCAAAGCTGTGAGGGGCCCTATGGCTCATCAATCCATACCCTGTCAAGGAGGCACAGTGGGAAATTGAACTCCCAGCCACTGGCTCCAGATACCATATTTCTTTTCTTGTATGTTTTAAAAGGGACGTGGTGGCGCTGCGGGCTAAACCACAGAAGCCTGTGCTGCAGGGTCAGAAGACCAGCAGTCATAAGATCGAATCCACACGATGGAGTGAGCTCCCGTCGCTTTGACCCAGCTCCTCGCCAACCTAGCAGTTCGAAAGCATGTAAATGTGAGTAGATAAATAAGTACCATCTCGATGGGAAGGTAAACAGCGTTCCGAATCTAAGTCGCGCTGGCCACGTGACAACGGAAACTGTCTTCAGACAAACGCTGTCTCCACGGCTTGGAAACGGGGATGAGCACCACCCCCTAGAATCGAACACGACTGACTAAAATGTCAAGGGGACCCTTTACCTTTACCTATGTTTTACAATCGATTTTGATTTCGAAACCTTTATTGGCATATAAACGGACAACAACAAAACATAGGTACAAGCCAAGCGATGATCAGAGTAAGCGTAAAATAGGAGATACACTCAACAAATAGTATCATAGGTAATGGGTTAAATTGGAAATTTCCAAAAGATATATTGCAACGGCATTTTAGTCACGACTGACTAAAATGTCAAGGGGAACCTTTACCTTTACCTATGTTTTACATGAAGATGGGCCTTACCCTTTGGTGTAACTACAGTATATACAGAGGGACAAATGAATTAATAGGAAACCCTCGTAACACTGAAAACCAAGTCACTACCTGTGGGTTGTACGCCTGACAGAACCCAAATGTAGTCTATAGAGTTTATAGCATAGGAGAGCCATTGCTAAAGAGGCAGCCAACTCTGATGCAACAAAGCTTACCTGCTCAAGTGCAAAAATGTGCTGATTGAAATAAAACTGGATTTGCTCGTTTGCAATGTTTATGCAAAGCTGTTCAAATGAGTTCCTGGTAAAGTTCTCAAATCCAAAAATATCCAGTATCCCAACGTTCATTCCACTTTCAGCATTGCTGGTAGGGGGAAAAAACACACACACACACAACTGAATTATTTTGGGCAACTACTGGAGGGCTAGAATTCTATTGCTGTTCACATAAGGTTTGCATAATTTATGCTGTGGCTAACAGATGAAGTGTTGGGCAATTCTTGACCATGTGCTTGGTTACATGCAACCAAGATGCACCACAGCACCTTGGCAGTTAGCCATGATAAATTATGCAAAAAATCTTATTCAATTTTTTTTTTTTTTACGATTCTGGCCAATAATGTAATCCTGAGTGATATCCCAAATCAAGTCTTAATCTCTGACCTAGGGTTCTTCAAAGCTCAGTCTTGTAACTGCCGTCTTGTTGGTCATAGAAACTGTTCTATAGTTTTCATTTATATTTCACTGTAACTATTTAACACTACTATTACTAGTGCTACTACTCTTGTTGCTCTTACTCTTGATTCACTTTGAAAATTACTGAAAAAGTGAAATATTGAGTACAATATTTGATGTAGGACCGAGTCTGGGCACCGAATATACATGAACATAGGGCTCTAGTGTAGCCCCCACCCCCACCCCTTTTTTTTGGCCATGGCCATAAAGACAATATGAACGAAATATAGGCCGAATCAGAATTATATAAACTGCATAATGAACTTTATAAGGTGGTGTTTGAAGAATTCCTTCCATTCCTTCAAATGTGCCACGCCGCCCCCCCCCCAAGGAGGCCATATAGCTCCTATAAGAATGGTTGCTGCAGTGCATTCATACTCCACAGAAAAATCATAGTTCTACCCCACCCTAGATCCTAGACATGGAAGCAGGACTTCCATGTGTAAAAGGTGCAAGCCAGTAAACAGCAGCTTTGAAAACCTTTTTGTGAAATGTCGTGCTTTTTAAAACACTATTATGCTGGAGCTACTGAAGAGTGAACAGTGATCCAAAGGGAGCTGTGGAAGGGGAGTAAGGTAGGGAGTCAACCACCAGTTCTGAAGCCCCAGCAACTCACAGAGACAAACTGAGCCTCTTTACTTTTTTCTTAAAAACTAAAATCTAACCACAGCTCTTTGACTCCCTCCCTAACTTTCTGCAGGCTTCTATAGAAATGATTTCTACACCGGCTTCATACTGCCATAAAGGAAGGGGCTTAATCTGGGCCCTCTAGAAGGAGCAAAGTGCTGTGAAGTCAGTAGATCAAAGCTGTCTCAAATCCACTTCTGAGGGTTTACTGGGGTTGCCATGTGGACTTAGTTAGGGCTGTGCTCAAAATGATCAGCCCTTCCAGCCAGGGATACCCTTCTGTTATTGTATGAGAAATCATCCACAAGAAAAAAGCCATCAGCCTATTTAATCCAAAGGTCTGCAGCACGCTAAAGATGGTAATGGCAATAATAAAAATGAAAAGCAGAAGAGAAGAAAAGCAGACAAGAGGAACACAGAATGAGACAAATATACACTCAAATGTCTTTTCCAAGAGGTTGATGGAATTTGAACTACATTGACCTACTTGGTTCAACCCAATTCAGCTCTTTGAAAATACTGGAGTTAATGCTCTGGAAACAAAAATGCAGAATCACAGCACGAAGGCCATTTAGAGGCATTATCTAAAGCAAACAGTAAATTCCTCCTGTAAAATAAAAAGAAATATATAGACACAGGAGATGCCACCAGCACACATGCTGTTTATTGACAGGTTAACTTGCCATATATTTTTATCAGGCTGCAAAAGGGTATTAATACGATTTACGATCCAGCTGAAGAGTCGGCCATAAAGTGCTTTTGACATGGCATCACGCACATCGGTGGCTTTGTCCACTGTGTTGGTTCGGATAATAGTCTCGCCACGCGTTACTACACAATGCGAGGTAAGAGCTTCCTGAAGTTCCTCTGAGCCGATACTCAGTAGTGCAGCTGCTGAAAGACGGCAGAGACATGCTGTCAGATGTATACTGTTGGCACTGGTAGCCATCTTGGCTTCTTGTGCATATTCTGTGTATTCTCACACACAGCCTCTGGAATTTTAGCAAATATTTACCATTATCTAAGGCTTCAGCATTGGGCACTTCGCTTTTGTCTGTTTGGTGTTGCGAAGAAATGGCAGCAAATTCAATGTTTCCCGTATTCAAGATGCCAGCCAGAATTCGATACACCGAGTGGACCTCCTGTAAACAAGGGGCAGTCCTTTAAGGTCATAACTTTAAGCCTCAGCAAAATTCTGATTCCATACTTTGGAGCCCACACTCCCTCCAAGAAAAGAGAATCTGACTTTGCTATCCCATGGGAGCTTCTCTCAACCCTTGGGATACTTCTGTTTTGAATCCTGAGTGTTTTCCTCAGCAGATCCAGGTCGAAGAGGCAGGTGGCAAAATAGGAAGCCGGTCCAGCAGGAATGGCCTGCTGAAGTTTGGGAGACCAAAAGCCAAGTCATTACAGTTTCTGGGAATTCAAGAATGGAGCCAAAATGGGCTTTTTTGGATAGTTTATTTACTATCTCTTTATTAGTTACACTGATCTTCCACCTTTCCTCACTTAAGGACAACATGGTGTTCATGACTCTTTCTTCGTCCCCACTTCCTCCTCCTAGCAACCCTATGAAGTAAGTCAGACCCAAAGAGAATTACTGGCCCAAATCCCTATTGTAAATTTCATGGCTTAGTGAAGACTTGAACATGGATCTCTCAAATCCCAGTTAAGCCTTGCAAGTCCTCCACTATGCTGATTTAATAAGGTAGAGGAACTGAATCTTCAATGTAACAGTTTCTCAGCCTTCCTTCCCTCTTGCTTAGCCAAAACAAAACAAAAAACCCCAAACCATCTGATAAAATACCCAACGTGAACTAAATAATTCTTGAGAAGACGTACTACTTTTTTGCTTCATGGTAACACTGTGGCTTGCTAGCCTCTGAAATAGCTAAATGTTTCTGCCCCATTCTGCCCCCTTAGCAGAATGGGGCAGAAGCATTTAGCCCCTCCTAGTCTTGCCTTTATGGAAATAGGCACAGCTACACAACCATTGCCTCCGTGACCACTTCCTTCTGGAGGAAGGACATGGGCATGTAATCAGCCAACTTTCTTGGTACGAGAAACTCCCTTCCAAATCAACAAAACAAAACAACAGGACAAAAGAATTGGAAATGAAAATAAAAAGGGGTGAAATGCAAATATAGCTTCAACTGCATAGAATCTGGTCTCAGCCTAGAGCACAATTTTGTAGAGGTTGACATTTGCTTACAAGCACAATATGGATGAAATATCGCTGGCTCTTTCAAAAGCATAAGCCTGCATTAAATATGCCAAACAAAAATGAGAACCTGATGCTTTCCTTTCTTGAAGCAAGACCAATATCTTTCTGTCATTTACATGTTTACTGTACTATTGTTTAAGATTGTTAGCCGCCTAGAGTGGTCCTCGATTGACCAGATAGGCGGGATACAAATAAAATAAAATAAAATAAA